TGCTTATCAACCGCTTTATGAAAATAAATAAATAAAAAATATTATATAAAATCGCTGGTAAAAATATATATTTTACTAATTTTATTGCTGTCATTGTAACTTCTCAGAGTACTTACTTTTTTTTCTGTAACTACTGTAACCAAGTCTGGTAACCAAGTCATTTCAGTCAAGATCATCAGAAAAAAAATAGCTTAATACTAAAAATAATGTTGATCCTAGGCTACAGGTCATTTGTAGTGAAAACTTTTAAGGTTTAGCTGAAGCCATTTCCAGGACTCAATAATTTCTCAATAAAATCTCATCAGTAAATTCAAAAATTTAAGAAGCCTAATATATATAGAAACCAAAAAATACATCTTTTCACTTTTAAAGTCTAGAAGTTGAATAAGTATAAAATAAAATAAAAAACAAGTAGGTTTTGTAAAATTTTCTTTTAAAAATATAGAGCTTTAAGTTTAGAACATTAAGAACAACATTTCTTTGCTGCTGAACTTTTTGAAAATATCAGAAATTTTAAATGACAATAACTCATGAATATTATCATTAATGACATAAACAAAATGAACATTCTTATGAACAACATTACCATTCTCATGAACATCTTTCTAATGAACAACAAAGAATTTTATATAAGATTATAAAAGAATTTCAGCAGAAAGACAAAAGACATCAGCCCAAAAAATCCAATCACAAAGAAAATCATAAAAAAAAATACATTAAACCTACATATTATAAGAAGCAGATTTACAAAATCAATTAAACATAAGCCTAGAATAAGAATCCGCCTATAATGATTAGCCTATGAATATTATTATTATTAATGCGCATAGTTACGCGTATTGTTTTATAGTTACGGTACGGTAAAATACACTTTTTAAGTTGTTTCTAGACTTTTCTTTACCGCGTGCTTACTTACAGATTTCCCTTCAACCTTTCATGGTACGAGTTCAAAATGTCTAAGTAGATAATGTTTAGTAGCTTAAAATTATAAGTAATCTAAAATTTTTTTTAAATTTAAAAGTAATTAATTATTGTAATCTTTTTTAAATTGTAATTTTAAATTTAAAGCTTCGTGTTATAAATTACTTTAATTCTTAAATTGTGTCTAGTGTTAAAATATATTTATGGGTAGTTTCATGCTTTCACTTAGTTTTGGTTATTGGGATAAAAGCCATGACAACATTTTGTTATAAATTTATCTTAATTTAATTTTTATTGAAAATTTTGTTATAAATAATATTTATCTTTAATATTGTTAATACTTTTGCTCTTTGAAAAAAAATATGTTTCTGGCTCTTCAATAAATATAAAATAATTTGTATTGCATGAATGAATTTTGGTTTAGGATTTAATTGTGTTAGTTTATGTTTGTCTATCTGTAATTTATTTAGGTTATTAGAAAATTCATGTTTACAGAGTTGTTATTAATCATAATCGAGTTGTTAAACCAAGGAAATTGTGAAGGTTTATTTATCATATATACTATATATATTATATAATTATATTGGAGGGAGTAAGTTTAGAAGCATTTTTAAATTTTTAAAAAGAAATAAAAATACTTTTCAATATATATCTGTTTTCTTTGAGGTAGAATTAAAGTTTCAGTTTTTTAAAATCATATATATTATAATATTAAATTCTTTTTTACTTAAAAATATCTATATTATAGCTACACTGAGTCGTAGAAAAAAAATTAAACTTTATTAATAAGGTAGTAGATTATTGGAGTAGATTAAATTGTTTGATCTATTAATCAACTTAATAACGTACTATTAATATGAAGATTTATTTTGGTTGTTTGTTTGTTAAAATTTAGTTAGAGTTTATTTAAAATTTAAATTCTTTAGTTAATCAAGAGAGATCTAATAAAGGTATTAATTACATTAGTTGAATGTGGCATTTAATATGTATTTTATCGATATTTTAACATCTAAACATTAAAGTGCTTTTATTGTTTCAATACAGAAGTGAAGAAGGAAATAAGTCAGTGTTTCTGCTATTAGATATTTGTTAATAGGATTTTGTTTATTTGTACTGCCACTAGAATTTTTAAAAATCAACTTCTTTAGCTTTATTTTATACTTTCTTTTTTTGGAAGTTGGAACAAAAACTAAGTATAAATTATGATTAGTTTAATAAATAAAGCATTAATATTAAGAAGATTTAAAGTTTACTTTAGTTTATAGTTTTGGTTTAGTTTATAGTTTTGTTTTTAGCTTTAGTTATTTTTTTCTTAGACAACTTTATGGATGAAATGAGGGGGATGGGTAAAACAACTATTTAGATATGTATATATTTATATGTTAACATTATTTTATCGATTATTTTATATTTATTTAAGTATATATTTGTCTTTAGTGTCTGGTGGAAGTATAGCTGGTAGGGCTGTGTTTTATATTTTATATGTTTTGTACAGAGAAATATGTGCAATAGGTGGAAAAATTAATTAATATATATGAAACTTTTGAACTGGTTGCATTATTGCCCTATATATTTATTAAAATACAAAATGTTGCATGTTTAACCTTTTTTAATTTGCTCTCTCTTTTTTTTTTTTTAGCATCTTTTGTTTCAAATGAAAATGGTGAGTTTATGCTATTTTTTTTTTTAAATAATTGCAAATGTATAATTTTTATTATATTCTTCTATTTGTAACTTTATATTCCTTATCATTCGAAGAATACAAAAATTACCGCTCCTAACACCCGGGACCTCTCTCAGAGAGGTCCTTCAAAAAATGGAAAGATCATGGCGGAATGGATAAGCCCTCCTTTAAATGGAGGGCCCATCCGTACCGGGGTGTTAGGAGACACCGAAGAAAAAACAGCAACCAAAAGGTTGTAAATGTCTTCTATCAGTAGAGATATTTATGACTTTTTAGTTGCTGCTTTTTCTTCTGGTTTTTTTTTTTTTTTTGTATTTTTGTAATTTTTTGTTTCGGTGTTTTTCCTTTTAATTTTGTAATTTTTTTTTTTAAATATATATTACGTTATATATTTGATTTGTTTTGATCTTTTTTAATGAAAATTTTAATTGTTTTCTCACCAATTAAACCTGACTTCAAATTTAAAGCCCTCTTAAATACCCCTCCCTAAAATCTTAGGGAGGGGTATTTAAGATTTAATTTAAATCCCTAAAGTCGAAAGTTGAATTGATTCATTATCTAACTATCATAATATAATGATGCTGCATTCTTTTGTTAAAAACAATTATTTGGTATGTTTCATTTATTGAACTCACTGCTTTTAAAATTTACCAAAACCCAAGGCAATATATTTAGCTATATAAATACAATTTATTTATCTCGATTCCATTCTTCATCTTTTATGTTTATAGTTTGGCTCCTTGAAGCATTTTATGTTTTGCTTTTTTTATTATGAGTATTTTAAATCCGTTGTGATGTCTTTTAAATTTACTAAAAGCCAACATAAAAATTACGTTTTTGAACAACACCAAAAAGAACAGCTGCATCCCTACAGCAACTGCTGCAGTATCACAATAGGTTACCAAAAGTAGGTATACTGTTTTCCAGTTGTTATTTTTTTTTTCATATATATCTACTTATCTATATAATACTATAGTACGATTGTTTATATCTCATTCATTTTTTCTTTTTCTTTAAGTGTCAATAATTTTATTCTTTGAATGAGATTAGTTAAACAAGTCGGCTTTCCAATTCAAGATATTGGTTTCAAAATTGAACACCATTAGCAAAATGCTAACAAAATTAGGTAGTTTTTAAAAATCTATTTTCTATTTAATACACTTTTTTTTAAATATACTTTTTTAATATACTTTTCTATAACAATCCTACTATTATGGAATCACGTAGCTTTCTAAATATGTTTAATTGTCGTCCCTATCGGTAATAAATATTTTAAATTATTTGATATGGTTTTCTTTACAATAGGCTATGCTTGGCTCCTCGGTGCTGTAAATGGTGGCTTCAACTTAGTTTTTTTAAGAAAAATGCGTTTTATATATGTCTCTGTTTTAAAATATTTTTGTTACATATTTAACTATATATCATGTAAATAAATTTCTTTTAAAGATATGTAAACTTGATACTTGCTTTTTTACGGATTTTCAAAAAGTGAACAAAGCTTTAAATATATTTTTTAACTGTCTTATATGATTTTATCAATTTTATTAAAGCTGAATAATTACTTCAAAAATATTGAGTAAAATCCAATTGCTTTTATTATTAACCAGATCTATACAAAAATTAATGAAATAAAAATAATAGTTTAACGCCAAGTTAAGGCAAAATGTATTCCGGACATTTTATAAAATTAGTATAAATATGGATTGGATGTATGCCGAAATAAATATGTTGATACACGTTAACTATTAAAGTAAATCCATATATTCCTTTATTTTTTTTTATAAACAAGTTTCTGCTGGATTACTAATTAAAAAAAGGTTGGTTTAATAATAATCTTTATCATAATAATATAGGATCCGTATGCAGGGCTAAGCTTTTTTCGGAAATGCGATATATTTTTCAACTTATAGTTTTTCCGGATATCCAACTTCTATGCCTACAAGTTTTGGTGTAATATTTTAGATGTTTTAAAAATATTTAAAAAGTACATTAATAACACTAAAAAGTTTAGGTGCGATAGTGACATATTTTTAAGCTCTTCACTCAGTAAAATGAAAAGTTTAAAAAAAAAGAAACGACTCAGCTTAAAGCAAAATTGAGAGTAGAATATATTCCCAATATTTACCTAAACAATTTTACGGAATTTGAAAATTTGACATCGATGTTCTGTGCATATAATTCAAGTCATTTTTAATTACTACATGGTTGTGATTTGCGCATTCAATGTCTGAACATTGCAAAAGAAATGGTTAACTTTATCTTTAATGAAGCTAAAAGTTCTCTTAAACTAAGAAGCCATGAAAAATAAAAGTGAGCTTAACTAAAAAAATGTATAAATAAATTTATATTTCATTAGAGAAAGTAAATAAAGATCAAATTGTTAGTAATTTTTTATTTACTACTAACCCGTATTACGGGTTGCTTACTGTATAAATAAATTTATATTTTATTAGAGAAAGTAAATAAATATCAAATTTTTAGTAATGATTTATCTACTACTAACCCGTATTACGGGTTGCTTACTGCTAGTATTTATAAATAAGCAATGTTTCCTTCAACAAATATGTTAAACAACTCCTCTAATACCAAATACAGTAAGATAAAAACCAAATAGTACATCTGGCGGAATATATGTTAAACACAAATAGAACACATGGAATATATATTAATATTATTTTCATTATATATATATATATATATATATATATATATATATATATATATATATATATATATATATATATATATATATATATATATATATATATATATACATACATACAACCCTTGCGATTAGGGTCGGCATTTGACAATGCTTACCTATTTACCAACCTCAAAGTGTTTGAGGTCGGCAAAAAATTGCTAACCTTATTTCTATGTTTTATGGTAAGACCTTTGTATCAAGTTTTTTTTGCCGACCTCTAAAAGATTGAGGTTGGCTAATTATTACCGACCTCATTTTTCCTAACTCTGAGGGTTATATATATATATATATATATATATATATATATATATATATATATATATATATATATATATATATATATATATATATATATATATATATATATATATATATATATATAGCTTTATAAAATATTTATAGCCATTAAAGTACCTTGTTTGTCTCCTCTTTTGAATCTTCTTTTGAGGCAGACTCATCTGCTGGCACCTGGATATTAAATATATTATTTTATGTTTCATACTATGTTGTATTGAATAAACTTATAATATGAAATATACTTTCCTAAACCTATATCCTAAATTAAAGGCAACTTCAAATTAAATAAATTTTTGTGTATGCAGATACTACAACAGCAATTAAATACAACACCAGTCAAACATACTTAATAAAGAATTTGAAGCTGTATGGTTGCTACAAGAGCAACTTTAAAATCTCATTCATCACCACATTAGCAAAATTATCAGAATTGACATTATTGAATCAAAAAGACATTTTTAAATCAGTATCAACTGCATTTAACAACCATTGAAGTCACATCAATAGTTGCACAAATGATGAAAACAGCATATTGGCTACCAGCAAACTATAATTTGCCATATCAAATAACATTACAGCTTGAGACACAGTAGACAATTAATAATAAACAAATCCACCCACTAAAATTGTAACTTTATTAATCAATAATTGCTCTTCTATGTTATTAAATTTTTATCTAAGTTATGTATGATACAATTTTATTGAAATATCTCATAGAGTTGCAACTAATGGACACATTTAAAAAATATTTAAAGGATAATCACTGCTTACAACTTACAATCATTCAAGCCCTGTTGATTCATCACCAACACTCTACCTAAAACACTCTAGTAAAAGCAAAACATAAGCTATGGCTCAAATATATTGCTGCTTGAGTCATACACATGCAACTTTACAAAACGCACATAAATTTGCATGCAAAAAACTCAACACTAATAACTATTTTTATACAGTCTTTGCAGTTGAACAAGAATCCAGACCAGAAACTACAAGAAGAACAAGATGGTTGAACAAGAAGAGTTGATGCCTTATTTTATCAATGCACACAAGCAATGTCAGCTCGATGAAAACAACACTCATGTGCCTAAAATAGAAAAATGATTAAAAAGATTATCAGAAAATAAAGCTATAAGATGTGACAAAATACATTAAAAAAAAAAAAAATCTTTTAAATGTCTAATCACCTTGATCCACACCAAGTCTATATTCAATGCTGTGGATTTGTGTAAATAAGACATACATCTTAGTAGCATGCCTTATGTTATTATTTATTTTATATATACAAATAAACATTTAGTAAACTTCTACATAGAAGCTTGTTACACAAACTGCAAGCTTATAAAACTAATGAAATCTGCTAAAATAGATTAAGAATTGGCTACAGAGATTAGTATTAGGTGGATTGTATCTGAGTAATTATCAGAGGTGTTATATTCTTGCTAAATACTACCTTTCCTTCAAGCTGATAGATAGAACTGTTGAATGGTCTCACAAGTGGCATATAGTTTTTAACATCAATAAACTTAGAGTTATGCTCCTTGGACATATTAAATAAAATCAATGCATACAATGACACAATCAGATAAAACCCATCACACACTTTAAAAATCAGATGAAACCCATTATACACTTTAAGAATTTAAAGTTAAACAAATTATTTGAATTGTTGTTTTTAAGATCAAAAACTCAAAACTCAAGTCAAAACAGAATTTTCAATCACAACCCAAATGCTTGGCCCTCTTAAAAAAGCTTTTTGTATCCACACACTAGTTATATAAAAAATATTGTACCTTACATACATTCAGAGAAGTTTAAGACATCTGACAATGTCAAAACTAGAGGTAAAACATCTACTATAAAAGAAGAGAATGCTAATGTCTAAAATAAATGAATAAATATATATATATATATATATATATATATATATATATATATATATATATATATATATATATATATATATATATATATATATATATATATATATATATATATATATATATATATATATATATATATATATATATATATATATATTAAACATAGTCATTTCAACAAGATTACTAGAAAAGCAATCACTAAGTTAATACTAAACAGAAAATAAAGAGGTAAAGTGCAAAAAAGTGATAGTAAGTGCAAGAAAAAAGACTTAAAAAACTGTAAATTGTATGTTAGGAAATCAAAAAACAAAAAAGAAGCACCAAGTTGGTCTAAGCACCAAGGTTTGAGGAAAAAACTAGATGAACTAAACTTTTTTGAGCAAGAAGGAACAGTTACAGAAAAAAGATACAACTTGAATGAAAAGTTGTGCAAGATTGAGTTGAAAGTTGTGCAAGAGTTTTGGTTGATGGAACAAGTGATAATAGCTTAAGCAGCAACCATGGTGATAATTCTAAATAAATCTAAAACTGAGTTTTGTTTGAGTTAAATTCATCGCCCCCAAACTATCACATAAGAGTTCTAAGCAATCTAAGTGATGACTTTTTTTCAAGACTGGAGTATATAGTTGTGTTCAATCAGCAAATTGTGTCACTTTAGAGGTAAGATTATCAGTGTGATTACACTGTGGTGCCCCAGAAGTTACACAATGCATTCACCAACTTTTACCTTGACTAGTAATAAAATGCATTGAACATGAAAAACATTTTACAAATAAGAAAACATTGGAATGCTCTTTCACAGTAAGCTGTTAGTTCACCTTTAATGAACATGTTTTAAGAAATCATATCTTAATCAGCTGCTTTGTTTTCACTTACCTGTGTCAACATAGAAAAGTTTAATACAACTCTCTTTCATTAGTTTAGTTTAGATTTTTACAAGATGTATGTTTAACTGTGAATATATTCTTCAATACTAAATTGACAATACAATGATTATTTTTATATATACTTATAACCATATAAGCTTCATACTGATTTTGAAATAACAGTAATACCAATATTATTAATATAACATATTTTAAAATATATAATATTTTATATTTTAAAATATGTAATAATTTTATTGTCATTTCAAATTAAATGTACTGATTGTGAAATTGTCTTTTTAAAAAAGAATGCCAATAAATGTAGTTTAAACTTGATCCTATTTTTTTGTTATTCTGAGGGCTGCTCAACTAATTTCACAAAGTAAAACAGTTAAATTTGAAATTTATAGAAACATTTAAAACTGAAAACTTTTTTTGAATTAGTAAATTTTTTATTAATAAGATATTACTTAAATTTATACCTCTCCGTTTTCAACTTCTTCATCTGATTTTGAGCTGCTGTCATTGCTATCTTCGCGTGCTAATCTAAGAAGACATACAATTGAGTATATAAAAGAATCTATATACAATATCAAGATCTAGACAAAAGACACTACTTATAATATGCTCAATGAAACCAAAATCTAAAAGAGTAACCAAAGAAATGCTGTGTAGTGCTTCAATATTTTTGCAAGAGAGAAAAAATGTATGAATTATTTATATTGATATTTTCTGTTTTTCTTATACACTTAGATTTAATAAGGTGTGACATATCAGCAAATAAAAACATCATATAAACCCAGAGCAGAAATTAAGCATGAAAAATCCAGATCAGAAACTAAGCATTGGGTAGTCTGTTAAATATTTCTGTTGCATTAAAAATTAAATTTACAAAATTTCCTTCAAAATCCATTCAGATAAAATTTATTAACAGTAATTTTTTGTTAACGATGTTAAATTCAGTTAACAGCTGTTAATTAAAAGATACTGCAAAACAGGTATGTATATTTTTGAAAGCAAACAAAATAATATTGAAAATTAAAACACATAGACATAGTTGCAAAACAGATGATATGTATATTCTTAAAAGCAAACAAAAAATATTAAAATACATAGACATAGTTGTCCGTAGTAAAAAAATAAAAGTTAACATTCATCTTCTTTTTCATTCAAAGGATCATTCAGTTTCCAATTTTTCGTTTTGATGATTTTTAAGTTGTCATGGCAAAACACCAACTGTCTTATTGTGCCAGTGCTAAGATTTTTCCTACAACAAGTTACAAAATTTTCTGAAGAACTGAAAACCCTTTCAGACTTGATGCAGGAGTGCAAAAAATGGACCTGGAAATTTTAGCCAAGATAGGAAGAAAATTCAAATTGTCTTTCTACCAGGTTAAAACGCTTGTGTTGCTTTTGGTTACAGGCTTTAGTATTGAAAAAAAAAGGAACATTTCTTCTTCAATTGAAGACATATCACCAATCGCAATTTCGTTGACATGTGACAATCTAGCAACACAAATTTTTTTTTTTAGGTGCCCTAAGTCCTTACGGTCTTATCACAGAGCACTGCGGATGAGCATTTAATAGGAAGTTCACACCTCCTTCCTAACTGATGTCGCAAAACTTGCTCAGAGATGGGGTTTGAACCATGGATCTTACATTTCTGAGGCTAGTGCGCTACCACTGCGCCACAACTGCTCATCAATTGGCTCCATGAAATAAAAATCTTCTGTGCTTGCTACTGAAATAACTTTTCCAGGGTTGGGGTTGTAGAAGGCCGTTATTTGCATTCAAGTTGATTCAAAACACTGAAAAAATAGCACAATATTATATTATTTTGAATGCTTTTTAATGAAATTTTTATAATCATTTCAATTTCAAATTTTTCAAAAACAGCTCCTTAGATTTTTAGCTCTTTGTCTTTCATTTCATCAAACTTTGATTAAATGAAAGACAAACAGCAAAAAATAAAGGACTTGAATTAAAGAAACCATAAGATAAAAAAAACCCTAGACTAATTATTACAACTTTTTTTTAAACAACTAAAAAGTTTTTCTCATAAAATTATAGAAATTTACAGAAATTAACAAAAAAAAAAATTTAACATCTGGATGTACAGTAATGGACGAATTTACCAAACAGAATAATCAAAGGCCCATGCTCAGTAGAAATATGAGAAAATAAAAAAATAAAAAATGACAAACTACATTATAAAGATTTAGGAAAGCATTTAAAACTCTAATAAAATGTTTAAAAATACATACGCTTCAAATTTATTAGTTGCCATCTTTTTTTACGGTACAATAATGCAAAATATATTTTTATAAAACTAAACTAAAAAAATTGAAAAAATGATAAAATAATTATTGCTAACTTTATTTTTAAAAATAAAATTATATTACTACCATAATATAATTATTTTAACTTTTTTCTGCTTATTTGTCCCAAACTGCTTTTTCAGAAAAAGAAGAAAAAAATTAAGAATATAAAAAATGATTGCTGCACCAAAAATTTCTCATATTTAATAATGTAAATAAGAGCTAACAAAGTAATAATAAAAAGGTAACTGAGTAATTAAATAATTAAGCTTGGATTAATCATCATTGAAATACTTTTAAATTAAAATAAAGATATATAGCCAGGGGCTATTCTAGGAAAAAAATTTGGGCGGTGGTACCCCTTGTCCCGTGGAAATTTAGCAAAAATATTGACGAATATGAGTATTTTTTGGGAAAAAAAAAATAGTATCTGCTATAAAAAATGTAAAAAAAAAAAAGTTTCTCAATTTTTAATTTGGGCAGCACTCAAATACGGTTGTCGCTATCGAAAACGGTCTAGAATAGCACCTGATAATAACTTTGTGCTTTTATTTTTTCTGTTTTGTCTTTTATTTTATTAATTTTAACATTATTTAATATTTTTATTTTTTAGTTTATATATATATATATATATATATATATATATATATATATATATATATATATATATATATATTTATATATATATATATATATATATATACAAGATATATATACAAGATATATATATATATATATATTTATGTATAAATAAAAGTATATATATATATATATATATATATATATATATATATATATATATATATATATATATATATATATATACATATATATATGTATATATATATCTATATTTATATATGTATGTGTGTATATATATATATATATATATATATATATATATATATATATATATATATATATATATATATATATATTTATTTATTTATTTATTCATGAAGACTTCAGTGGAAAAACTGGTGGTGTCACATTTAAAAAGTTTTGAGAAAGTATTCATAAATCATTAATTAAAGTTTTTATTTAAAGCAAAGGAAACTAAATACTAAAAAAAGTTATGTTTTATTTAAAACTTTAACCAAAAATTAAATTTTTATAATTTTTCATAAAATTTTAATTCTTTTTTGCTTTAAATGAAGACTTTTTTAATGATCAATAAATGCTTCCTCAAAACTTTTTAAATGTGACAACGCTGGTTTTTCCACTGAGGTTATAACTTTGAAGTTGTAAAAAGAGACAGGCAGGGGTTGCAGCGGTAAAGAGAGGGATAAGAAGGGGATAATGGGGAGGGGCGGTAGTGTTTAGAAAGAGGTATTGGTATATATGAGAAGGATGGTGGGGGTGTTGCAAAATGCTGAAATAAATGACCACAAAGGTTAGAGGGGGAAAAAAATAGTATTTTTTTGTGCTTCAAAAAACATGGCACCCTGTAACTAGGTTTCAAGAAAATCTTTATATAAAAAAAGAAGAGTTTAACTGCTCCATTGTTCAGCTGCTGAAAAGATTTAAGTCATAAAAACAACACCAAAATATTTTTGTATTATCTGTTAAGTCTAACAAAGGAAATATGAGAAAAAAACTATTCACATACTATTCATATACTGTACGTGTACTACTGTGCTATTGCAGTACAGTAATACACGTACCGTGAACTCCTCCAAACGGCCTCGGCCATCTGACTCAATATTTTTCATGATTAAAAAAATACACTCTACAGGTGCAGATATTCCTGGCAAACACAAAATGTGTTCAATAACTTTTACCAGATTAGGTACATCAATTTCTTTTTCTTGAAAAGTAGTATCAAAATATTATGATTTTCGTTGTCTATGCTTTACTTAAAATTCAAAACCATGAATTTTGTTTGAATGAATTTTTGAATTTTGAATTGTGAATCATGAATTTTTCTTTTTTGGAACAAAATGAAAAAAAAATTTCATTTTTATCCTGAAAACAGGATAACACAAAAACCCTTGGGACACTGGGACAAATGGCATAAAATCGGGACAATCTTAGTCAAAACAGGACTTATGGTAAGCCTATATATATATATATACATATATATATATATAATATATATATATATATATATATATATATATATATATATATATATATATATATATATATATATATATATATATATATATATATATATATATATATATAATGAAATAGTATTTATAATATTTATAGTATTACATCATTTAAATTAACGTACATCAGTACGTATTGAAGACTAAAGTATGTATTTCAAACTTAAATTTAAAAATTTGTTGACTTATAATTACGTATAATTTACATTTTCTCCATTTTGAGGAAGTATTGAATGTTATATGGTTATAAATTTTTAACAAAAGGTTTTTTTAAAAAAATTTGAAATTTACTGATGAATTTTAATTTAATCTGAAATTGTAAAAAAAAAAATAATAATAAATAAAAAATGTTTGGATATTCCTATTTTACTAGAGATGGCCTATATAGAAAATCTTTGATCTGCCATTGATATATAAAATATAATATATACATATAATTAAATTTATAATCTATTATAAGCATATATATATATATATATATATATATATATATATATATATATATATATATATATATATATATATATATATATATATATACATGATTTCTACGTTTTACATATAATATTGGATTAAAAAATTGGATTTACTATAAGAAATTTTGAAAACATGTCGACAACAACGAACTAATAAAAACAACTAATTAACTTTTGCCGTTAGTTTTAAGAAATACGCACAACCAGGTACTTTTTATTTAGTACGATATTTAGGCACATTTTAGCCGTTTCCAAATAAAAAGCTTTTTCAGTACGTACAAAATAAATAAAAAATAAACCAGAAAAACGACCAGTTTCAAAAACTTTAATTTCAACTTCAAAAACAAATTATGTCCAATTATAATTTAATATTGGTTGCCGAAATTTCGCAGGAAAAAAATCAATTTTACATGAAAACAACTTTTAATAAATAAAATTATTATTTTTTTTTTTTTTTCATGAATTATTTTTTTTATAAATTATATTTTTAATATATTATTTACTCTTAATAAATAAAAATAATGGTTATCTACATATATGTTATAATAAAAATAATTGTTATATTTTCAGCTATATTTTTCTTGTAACTCAAGTTGTCTAAAAAAATTACTTTAAGCGTGGATGAACTAGTTATTTAGAAGATCGTTATAGATAATTTAATATGGTCTTCTCAGGTTAGCACATTTTTGAACGGAATGATCCAAAATAATTAAAAGTTTAAAATTCTGCAAACTTAACTTTGGGGTTAAAATATACCCCAATTTACATAGGCCTGTAATAGTTGTTTGTAAGGTATTGCCAACCGATTCTAAACATTTTACCTTTTTTTCATTTACAATTTACAGACCCGTACCGTGAAAGTTTTAAGGGAGGGTCGTTTTCGAAAAGATATGCAGTTTAGAATAACCAATAAAATTTTTCCTCAATTTTTATAATAAAACTTGCGTGAAACAAAGAGAGTTTATTTTAAAAGGGAAGTCAATCGCACCTCTACCCACCATACGATATGACTTAGTAGGTTATTCCTTTTGAAAAACATGACTTTTCATCTTTCTTTTTGACTTTAACGAAAATCAGTAATAAACAAAGTTTATTACTGAATTAGGGATTTTTTACATGGTCTACAAATCGCTTTTCTCATTCGAAGCAATATTTTAAAATGAGAATTCTAGTTATATACGAGTTAAATGACATTTATATTTGATTTTATATATATATATATATATATATATATATATATATATATATATATATATATATATATATATATATATATATATATATATATATATATATATATATATATATATATATATATATATATATATATATATATATATATATATATATATATATATATAGATAGATAGATAGATAGATAGATAGATAGATAGATAGATAGATAGATAGATAACTTATCCCTAGCCGTTTTCAAAGATCTTTTTACTTTTAAACCAATCGGTAAATATATTTTGAGAAATAATAACTTTTAATGAACTTTTTTGTCAAAGAAATTTTAATCAGGTTTGTATTGTCTTTTTAATTTTGTAGTACCTATTACTTTTTGCCTTTTTAAACTCAGCGCTTGAGTACAACTTCTGTATGCAAAAATGTTGATCAGTAACAGACGCAACTTTGGATAAGTTTTAATGACTGTTTGTGGCTGTTCCTATGCTAAGCCAACAATATCTTTGTATAAAAACATTGAATAGAAAAATATAGCGTGAAAATTCAAATAAAAAAAAATAAAAGTTTAATAATTTTTTTGTTTATCTTATCCTGGTTAAATGCTCATTTAAGGTTCTGACGACAAGATCCTTGCGATCTTCTTTCAGATATCTTGTTTATTTTTTATTATATTTTCTATCATTGTAAGTTTATATTATTATAACAACCAACAAATGTAAACCAAAAAGTAAAAACATTTTTAAATAAATTTAAAAAAATAAAATAAAAAATAAGTAATTTCACAGTTTATAAGTAGTAGACACCCCCACCCCAACCCTCTTTCCCCCTTGAACTATATTGGTGCACATTTTTAATTTTTAGATTTTAGAAATCATTCTAGGAAAATTTTTTTTAGTAAAAAAATATATGTTAATTTTTGCGTTAAATTGTAATCCAATTGATTTTATTTACAGTTGAATTCAGTACCGTGGCTACTAGGTCCGAGGCCCCTCCTTAAAAACCTTCATAAGGGGCCCAAAATCATAAAGATTTTTGCATTAGGTAATACTATATAAAAAAAAGCTCTTTACATTTGCAAAAAGACTCCTAAATTTGAAAATGGGCACCCTAAATTTGCTGGGTCTCCCCCCCCTCCTTCTCCCTCCTTATTCATCGGTGTGGGGAGTTTAACCCCGGTTTTGGGAGAATTTTCATAAGAAAAAGTTAAAATTTGAAAATATAGCACTTATTTAGAAAAAAAACTATTTATATCCTCTGAGGAGGTCCTGTACATCAGGATCAAAGTTAGGACCAGCAATTGCTTGCAGCTTATTATTTGCATTTTCATCATTTACATCAATCACAGGATCGCTCCTTATAAGTAGATAGTGTAATTGGTTCCACATCATATTAATTCTAGATATTTTGAATGTGTGATTAAGTCTTACATTTCTTGTGGTCTTATTTTATGCTTCCTGAGTCTCCTAGGAATTGACCTCTGTAAAGATCCAAATGCTCAATTATTAGAAATCCATCCTCAAGAACCTTGTGAAGTGTGAGTGACATAATTTACCAAAGACCAATTTCCACTATTGACTCTGAAGTTTCAATACAGTATGCTTTTAAAAAAATCATCTTAGTTTAAGTGGAATCCACTGCAAACTGTATTCAATATGGCTTTGAGCCTTACAATCATTTCTAAGATAACTCCTGTTACTTTAAATTTAAAAACCTGGATAATTTTTTCCTTTTATTTATCTTTTAGCTATCCGCCCATGATGTGGCAAGTCTTCATGGTCTTGAGGTAGATGAAGCAGGTCTTGTATACAGTTCTTATAACAGCTATTTTTTGTCACGTTTCTCAACTCAAGAAGAGTTTCTTCTGTGCTTGCCATATTTGATCTGACAAGAAACAGCGAGAAATGTTTTACCCTTCCATAATCAATCTACCAATTCGTGAACATTCATCCTAATCTTTACTTCTTCCTTAATCACAGAGCACAAGATGGGATTATAAACTTAACTTCTTTGATTTTATCCAAAACATCAACCCTCCTTACGTGTACAACATCTGTATCTAAGACTCAATAAATGCTGATGAAATACTGTACATATGCAGAGCCGAAGCTAAAGTTTTCACATGTTCAATATAATAGTTTTTCAGGCACGGTAATTGGAGCTTATGAACAAGATGCAATGACCTGGTAAAGTTTATAACCCCCTCATTTTGAGGAGATATATATTTTACACAAATGTATGTTTTTCATACGTATGCCCATAAATCCATTTCGGGCAATTTGGGTCAACTGAATATTTTTTGGTTATTCATGACAACATTTCCAAAGATAAAAAATTTATTTTAAGGTGGAACTCTAAAGAACTTTTAAGATATTATATTTTCAAAAATCATATATATTGGAAAATTTTCACCTGATGATGAATTAATTACTCGTTTAGCAAAAGCTTCAAAATTTTAGGCTTTTTTCTTTTGAAACAGATAAAAGACTGTCCAAATAAAGATAAAAAAATTAAATCATCTGAACTAAAATAAAAAATTGAAAAATTAAACAGCAAAAAAATACGCGAGTTTCAGCGGTCTTTTTTTACCTTGTACTAGGTAGGAAAAATGTTTGTCTGAGTAGAATATTAGACATGACAAGACCAAACAAATATATACTTGTTTTCATCATTTGATATATACTTGCTTATGGATTTTAGAAAAAAATTGATAAAAAGGTGCATTAAAAAAAATCCACTAATGACCACTTTATGAGCTTTTCGCTTCATAGTACAACTGCTTAAAGGTTTATAATATAGTTCATAAACGTTTTATACCTTATAACGGTTCATAAACGTTTTATACTTCATAACAATTCATAAGCATTTACTTCAAATTCTAAACTATGTTCTGTTAGTATAAATAAATTCAATGTCAACTCATTTATTTTTTTATATTTGAGTTTAATTTCACTAAACTACTTTGTTCAATTTTTTATTTTAATTATATAAATAAATGGTGAACAAAAATATTCTCATTATTATAATAATTGGAAATACTGTGGGCGTTATTTAGCCGTCCATAAAGAAAGTCACCATTTTTTAGACAATTTTTGACCTCCTTTTCCCTTTGTCACCGTTTGTCCTTATTTTCTATACTTCCCTTAAAAAAGATGTCAAAAAATTGGTACCTACTTCACTCTTATATTTTAAAACAAAATCCGTTCTTAATTTAAATATTTTTATTAAAATTTTTTACATGAATTTTTCTGCGTTTGAATATCATTCAGTATCTTATTTCCACGTTTGTTTCAGTTGTTTGTGTTTGTAAATCTCCCTGAAAACTTTTTTTTTTGTTATATTACTCCTATTCTATATATTAAATTTAATCAAACGTGTCACGGGAACATGCCTCACTCTTCGTTCATCCAAGGATTTTTTAAATCACAGCAAGAATCGTTTTCCTTCTCTATTTTTTATTATTGCCTTCAATATTTAGAGAACCATTCTTCCATAATTGAAATCATTCAAATTTCCTCTATACGATCTTTTTAGTGCCTTTGTGCAATCAAGCTTGTCTCAGAGAATCTGTAAGTATTTTAATTTTGACTTTGCTCTCAAGTCATGTATTTTAATTTTTACTTTGCTCTCAAGTCTAAATTTTTGTTTAAAGCTAAAAAGCTTGTAATCATTACAATTTTGTTAACCAAATGTAACCAAATGGCCAAAAAGGATTTTTTAAATAATTGTCAATTGATGTGATTAGAATATGGCAGTCTTATTTGTCTGCATTTGGAATATTAATATTATTTACGTTTTAATTTTGTCCTCATCAAACCATTCAGCAAAGACAGCGTTTTCTTCTATCGCAATTACGGCTATTAACTCATTTTGCGTTTGGTGGCAATGCGAACAGGCCTAACTCGCTAAAGGGTAATAGCCATTTGGTTAATAAAGTTGTAACTTTTAGCATGACTTGGAAGGCAAGGTCATGCTAAAAGTTGCAATGCTTACAAATTCTCTTAGACAAGCTTGAATGCACAAAGAGACAAAAAAGATTGTAAGTAAGAAGTTTGAATGATTTCATTGATGGAATGGTTCTCTGAATATTGAAGGCAATAATAAAAAATACAGAAGGAAAACGATTTTTGCTGGTGACGTCTACAGTTTTCAAGTCAAGACTGGCAGAATTTCGTAGGAATTTGGAATTTCGTAGAAGCAAAAATCAACCGGGAATAACATGGAAATAAAAGCTCCTTTTCAAAGAACAACATCCGGGATATTCATATTTCACAATTTGTGAAATATTAGTTGATGCGCACATATGAGGCAAACCATTCCTGATCCTTCAATAAGAAATGACGAGTATCGAGCTCCGTCTTGCCGTCTGGATCTATATAATTAACCATCTTTGAAAACTGATCAATCATCAGACCTGAAAAAGTTGAGGCACAGATCTTTTTAGCGAAATCAAAATTCTGTTTTCTCTAAAAGAAGATCCACTGTCCTACCTAAAATACTTATTTTTAGGTAGGACAGTGGATCAGTATTTAGATAAAGAGTTGATATTAAAAATGAATTTGAATTTCTTGAGAGTCTAGATGAGTTTTATAATGATCATGAGAGAGAATCTATCCCACTAAATCAACACCGAAGACAACCACTGGCTTGACCAACTTTTTCAAAAGGTATTTTGTAATGGAATCAAACTCAGGCAGAGTCAAAAGTTGTTCTAAGTCTGATCGGTGAGCATACACTGTTGATGATGAATGTTTTCCAGATTGAACAGCATCATAAGTGGGACCAAAATAGGAAACTGTGTCAGATTTGCGAATAATTCACTTTGTACAGATATTTACTGTACAAAGTGAATTATTCGCGTGGCTTAAATGAAAATCGTTTTAGGTTCGCATCAACTTGACTAGAACCGTGTGGTCGTGTCTCTTTCCTTCAATTAATTTGCTCCATTTTGGCATCAACCGAGTATATAAAAAACTTCTACTAAGATGGTAAGTCTCTTTTTTCGCGCTCGGCACCAAGCTCATTCAACGGTTTGAGACTCTTTATAAAGTGATTAAAAAATTATGAGTGAACATGTATAGAGACTAAAAAATTATATTTAGGCCTAATATAGTCCAACAGAGTTTTTTATTAGTTAATGTTGTACTCTCACCCTATACCCTTCAGATTGCATCTTATCGTGGGCAGCAGATCCATGTTCAGCAAGTTGAATGATGACGCGCAATAGCTCAGATTGTTCAACTTCAATAGTAAGGCGACCGATTCTGTCACGTGTACATATATAATTAATTGTTTAAACTTTATTTATATAAAAAAAATATCTGTTTAAATATAAATATATATATATATATATATATATATATATATATATATATATATATATATATATATATATATATATATATATATATATAACTTTTTATTTTAGTTAATAATTTCCATGTTATTAACTAAAATAAAAAGTTTTTTAACGCGATATCCTTTTCTGATGACCCCACCCTCCCCCTTGTCCTTTTTATCTTAACCCTCCCTCCCTATAAGCATGACGTATATGGATGGCCCCCTACTTGGCGTTACTGTTAGTTAATACTGTTATTACTGTTACTAGTACTGGGCGTTAATGTTAGTTAATACGGTTACTATCCGACAGAAGTTTGCAATCATGTAGCATATTTATTAAATGTATTTTGAATAGCTCATCTTAAAAGCAAATATTAGATATATGTTGATATTATAGCAGTATTTACATTTTTTGCGTGTACTTTAATTAATATATTATTTTGTTTGTGTGATTTGCTGAGCTCAACACTTATTATATCAGTGAACAGTATTTTTTCATTGTGTAAATGAAAAAATATTGCATAGTAATAATAAAAAAAATACTAAAATAATAACAATTTAAAATTTTTTCTTTTTATTATTTTTTAAAAGAAATACAACTTTTCAATACCAAATGTTGCCTTGGAATTAAATTTATTTCAATCAGTATCTCTTCCTTTGGTGAAAATCCGGATGGTGCCAATACTTCTATATTTTTCTTTTCCTGAAACATAAATTAACGAATTAATTTAATTTTTAGAAATCAATACATTTTAATTTGGTGTTGTTGTATTACATTTAAAAATTGAAGACCCTTCAGTATTCAATAACTTAAATATTAAAACTTTTTATTTGTTAGCGTTAGTTTTTTTAATATTCAAATTAACAAATTGACCGCTGTTCATTATTTTCAATCACTCCGCATCAACTCGACTAAAAATCCATATATTTATGTGTAATTGGCTGTACATTGAATTATGGGATGTCTTGCGGGACCATATTATAAACAACATATATTTACTATATATCTTTGTTGTCTGCTAAATTTATTATATACTATAATATTAGATTTCGTTTTTCAAGAATTAAGTTGCTTTTTCTATAAATACTCACAATACTAAATATGCAAGCCTTTTGCTGAGCCATCAGTTGTGTAAACAAGCGTGGAAAGAATGTTGGAAATAATGTATCTTTTTTTAGATTTCCAAAGGATAGAAATAGGTTAGTAATTTTTAGTCAAATCAAATTTATGACTAGTATTATTTATCATTACTAGTATATCAAGAATTTAAAGAAGCTTTTAAAACATTGTTTTACTTTAAATTTTATGAAACAAAAAATATTTATACATATATGATGTAAATAAGTCCACTAAATTAATTAGGTTTAACCTATTATTTAGATGCAAGCTTTGGGTTCGTAATTGTCGTCGTCAAGATCTCGATACAAAATCATGTGAAGAACTTAAACTTAAATATACTATTTTTTGTGAACATTTTGATTCTTTCCAATACTGTCTTGCCAATAATGGTAGTAAAAGAGCACTTGTTACTTCAGTATTAACAATTTTTAACTTTCCAAATCAACCTTCTACCTTTAATTTAAGAAAAAACAGCCTACAAACAGACTTCATTTACAAAAGAAAATACAAAAAAAAAGAAATCACTGTTAAAGTTGAATTAAATTAAATAAATAGTGTTGAGAATAGCAGTACAAATAATGTAACTGTCAAAACTACTTTTAAGAATAAATATTTATCATCTCAAGTTAAGATTTGTCAACAAGAGCTCTCAAGTGTTTAGGATTTTTATTATTAAAACAACAAATTTCACATCCCACTACAGGAGCAAAAGTTTATATAATATTTGATTCACCTCATCTTATAAAAATGTTAGAAACAATTTAATAAAACATGATATTTTATCTGATGGTAAAATAATATCGTGGAAGCATCTGGAGGAACTAATTTAGACAAGGTTAATGCTGTGCGACTTGTGCCAAAGTTGACAGATCGTCATTTAGATCCAGGATTACTATTATCCATGCTACTAAAATTGGCAACGCAAATTTTTAGTAGTCAAGTTGCTACTGCTTTGACTGAATATGCTTCTGCTAAACTATTACCTGAAAATTTTATCTTAAATTCTTGTAAACTAAAAGCAGATAAATCAACACGCTCTGCTTTAACTCTAAATAGTAGTTTTATACAAAAGGTTAAAAATTTAAATATTTGGATTAAGGTTTGGCATTTTACTGGTGCTCGCAGCTAAAAAAGTATATCCAGTCATTGGGGTTTAGATGTCACTATTTTTAATAATCTTTATCTTGCAAACAAGTTGCTTCATGAGGATTTTTTTTATGTTTGCACAGTTCAATTTAATCAGGACTGCTTATAATTTTTTTTTTTTTTTTGCATTAGTACGAAGCAAAGGAGGCTGGAATGACAGACCAACTGCAATGCAGTTTAAATCAGCAATATTTAAATCAAAATTATTTAAAAACAAACAAAAACCTTACGCATTACAAAATGTTTCAACTGATTCAGTTTCACAGTCAATTAAACAGGTTTTGAAATTAATTGCAGATAATTTGATAAAGAAAGTTCAAGTCTGTCAAAAATGTGTACAAGTTCTTTCAAGTGACACCCTGTGAAATTAACTTATTTAATTCTGATTCTTTTTTACTAAACCTACTTCACGAAATGGAAACTGTTTTTATAATGCAAATGAAACTTATATTAACTAAAAAAAATATTATACAACAAATTAATAAAATAATAAAAAACGATTGCAATTTTTCATTTCTTTATGATGAATATTTTGATCATGCTTTTCATTTAGAAGAAAGTTTAATCAGACACTATGTTTGTATGAGAATATCAAGACATGTAAAAACAAGTTAGCTCGCATTATCCATGCTTGATTTTATTTTAATGATAATTTTTGAAACAAGATATTTATTGTTGTTGCTTTTTCTCTCAGTATTATCAACTATATATTTAGCATCTAATTAAGGGGTATATATTTAAACTAATATGGGGTATATATTTAAACTAATATGAAACAAATACAGTGATAACATGATTAAAATAATTTATGCAAAACATGTTAAATTTACATCAAATTTCACACCTGCGTCAACATATTAATGATAGATTATATATAAATGTTATATTAGCAATATTATGAAATAGTTTTAAAATTATTTTAATTTATAGAAGAAAAGTTTTTTTATGGGAAGCCCTCTGGTAAGAATAATGCAAATAAATATTTCACTAAGAGTTGCCTTGTTTGTGATTACTTGGTCCCGCAAGACATCCCACAATGCTTTGCGGCTAAAATTACATATATTTATCGGGAGTTGGCAGGCATTGCTCCGCATTTACTTAAATCGATTTCGAGTGAAAATAAAAAAGAAATTTTTTTTATATACTTTGTTGTCATCTGTTCTGTCTATCTTTCTATTTTTCACTTTCTTTTTTGTTCTTATATCTTCTCTTATAGACTTCGCTTTCATATGTTTTTTGCGTACTCAAAGCCAAACTATATATAATTTGGCTTTGTATATATATATATATATATATATATATATATATATATATATATATATATATATATATATATATATATATATATATATATATATATATATATATTATATATATATATATATATATATATATATATATATATATATTACACCTGCTTTTTAGAATAATACCACTGCTGCTAGTATCTTTTTTAGCAGAAGTAAAAATGGTGCTTCTACTGTAAGTTAATATAGGAAGTCTCAAACCCTCAGTATATGTTGCAGCAACTCCCTTGCATATTCTCTCTATATTCGTTTACTTATGTACTAAAGCTCTTAAAGCTACCTAATTCAGTATGATGTCACATTTCTGATCTTTTAATGTAGGAAAAGTAGCAAAAAATAGTATATAGTCACAAATAACTAGGTTAGCAAAAATTTTCTTTTAAAAACATAACTATGGTCAATGAACTCTGTTTGCAAAATTGAACTTGAATTTAATTTTTTTATTTTTTAATAATTTAATTGTACAATTTTGAGGAGATGGAAAAGCAGCAAGCTGACAGAATAATAGAACTTGAAGATAAATTATTAAGTGAAAATCAACAGCTAAAAAAAAAAAAAATTCAAGGCCTTGAAAAAAATGCAACAAATGATTCGTCAAGAATATTTGAAGAGCTTAGTGCTAAAAGTACTAAAGTCACAAAAAAATGTATTGAGAAAATCTACTTTGATCAGAGATATAACGCTTAAAGTAACAATTTAAAGTGGCTGATCAAATAGATTTTCTCAAAACATTTTTTTTTGTGACTTAAGTACTTTTAGCACTAAGCGCTTATTTATTCAAGATAAAAGACAGGCCAAATGTTCCAGCAATAGACGTTATAAATGCTTTAAATATCGAACAAGAAAACATAAAAAGAAAAGAGAAAAATGTAGTAATCTTTGGTTAAGAAGAATTAGAAAAACAGACAGTAGCTGAAAAATAAGTGGACGATAAACGTAATACAGAAGAGATTTTAAATACTATTGGCTACGATAAGCCAAGAAATTTGAAAATAGATCGATTTCGTGCAATTCCTGAAAAACAACATTATTTCGTAAGGAGATTGAGAACGATGAATTACATTTTTTCGCACCGAATATTACAAAACATTTAAAATCGTCGATGTTCATTTTGCAAATGCCACTTCCGAAATTTAGCATTTCGCAAGTTGACATACGAAATAAAACTATTTTGCAACATACAAAAGTAGCGGTTTCGGAAGTCGCACTTGCGAAACAAGCATTTTCGCCAAACGACGTTTTGAAGTGTATAAAGAAAACTTGTTTGCTAGACTGATTTTAATTGTAAAAATTAACATCATTAAATCCCAAAATGTTTATAATGAATTTTTATTTTTAGTATAATAACATATTAAATTTTTATGGTTTTATTTTAAGAAATATTGATAAAAAACAATATTTCTTTTGAAACGAAAGTATTTTGCATCAGAACATACGAAAGAGTTCTTAACGGAAACAAACTTACGAAACGTTCCATAATAAATATACATAATGATGTTTTTTGAACTCATTACGTATAGTCAAAGTAAAAATAATAGGGAGGAATATACATGTTTTTTTTTTTTTTTAAAGCATATGAAATTTTTGAAACAAGTTCTAATATGCTCAAGCAAAAAGTTAAGAGGCTCAAAAATATGCTTAAGCTTAAGCATATTTCTAATAAAATATACCTATTTCAATAATTTATAAAAGTGTGCGCGTTACTAAAAGTTAATGGGTATAAGAAAAATAAAAAGTTGACTTATGCTCTGTATTTTTGCTTTGGTTTTAATGTATCTGAATTAATGTTGTTATAAGCTTCGGTTTTTGTTGTTTTTGTTGGTTTGAATTTAGAAATATATATAATTATAATTTTTAATTAAATAAAAATAAAATTTTTAAAATGGTTTATCGAGGCTCAGAAATATGTTTACATATGCTTTTTTTTTTTTCCAAATCTTGGCCTATAAGCGTTATGTTTATAATAAAAAAAAAAAACGAGTATATACAGTAGAATTCCGTTGTCTCGGTCCCTGGATAAGTAGGACTTTAAGGCTACCCATAAATGATGTCAGTAAATATAAGGGGGAGGGGATACTGAAAAGTTTGATAAGAATTGACAATGGGGAGTGGGTGTTGAAACCAAATTGATGTCTATTTAAGAAAAAAAATTCAAGTTTATTTGCCAAATTTACGTCAGAAACCTGGATTTATTTGTAGGGAAAAAAATAAAAATGGTAGCTTTGTTTAAACCTTTTTTGTGTGTGTTTTTTATTCAGAAAAAAGTTTAAATATTAGCTTTAACTATCCTAGATTTCCTAATTTTATCCTAGATAAAATGAAAAGACATTCTAAAAACGCAAATGGGAAACCAATAGGATTTTATCGCCTTCCACGTGTAGAAGCTTTTCAGAACGAATACAAAAAACTTTTTAAAACAGCTGGAATGTATTGAGATCATGATCACATTTGGTCACAATACGACTTTAAACTAAAGTCACTATTCTTATTGAAAAAGATTTGAAATTTATATAAACAAAACTATCTATATACAAAAATAGACTTCACACAGTTTTGTTGTTATTTATAACGCTACCATTTTTATTTTTTTCCTTACAAACCGCGTTATATGAATTTAGCTAATACGAACATATTTTAAAGGTATTTACATCTACAGTATGATATAAATAGCATATTTGCTTTGTGGGGAGTTTCCTAGAGACATGATATAAATTAAAAATTTACCAACGTTTTACTATTATATTACCATTTGACTGAAAATCTAATTATTTGCAAATATCAACAATTTGTAAATAAATTTAACAATCATTATTCGATTTCAGCGGATTTTATAATGTGCTTTAAAGCAAACACATAAAGTCATTTGTCATTATTATCGAAGAACACTTCAACAACTCATGGGAAGACGATGAATGATTGAATTTATATTATAGATATAGAATAAAATTTTCAATAGTTAGTTTACTATTTGATGAGGTATCAATTGTTCTATAATATAATATGCTGAGATATAAATGTATAATTTAACCAGAAAAAATCGATTGAGCTTACACATATTTTTAATGTTACTTTAGGGGGAAGGGGGGTTCAAAATCTGACATTATATATAAGGGGGGTTTTGCCAAAAATTAACAGAGTTTGACAAAGAGGGGAGGGGTTTAAAAATTGAGAAAAATCACAGACATCAATTATGGACAGCCCCTTTTACTAAGTAGGAAAGTTTTTCAGTTTTCCTTGAACGTTCTATAAATACCAAGAGCTACGTTTAACTCGGACATTCCCTAAGTCGTACTATTTATCTGTTCCCATTGAGAGTCCAACTTTATCAGACAGCACATTAAAAGCTTTCCAATTAAGGAAAGTCATTGTCTTATCCAATTAAGGAAAGTTATTATCTTGGAAAGCCTATATGCTATCTAGATGCCATTTTAAATCTTGAAAATGTGTATAATGCTGTTTAAAGAAAAATGCTTTTCAATAAAAGTTGGCGAGACAAAGTTTTTCAACCACTTTAAAATAAACTATTTCATGAAGGTAAAGAAGAAGTTTACCAAACTCCACTTATTCTCAGATAATTGTTGGTGCTAAAATAAAAACCATTCATTATCTTATCATGGCTACTTTTAGCCATGACTGATTTAAAGAAATTTGAAAAGATTAAGCAATTCCATCCATTTATTATTAGCATAATAAAGCGAGAATTTAATAAGGTCTACTACAAATACTTGGTCTACACAGTAGACCAAATATGTGACTTTAATAAGACATCCTCCGAAAATGATAAATTTGTGGTACAAAAAATTAAATCCTCAGAAATTTTAGACTTTAAGATCTGGTGGCCGCAATATTACAAAAAAGGTAGTGTTTTCGATGAAACCAAGTAAAAAAAGCAAGTTAAAAAAGAAAATAAGTAGTACTTTTTTATAAGCAAACTCATGCACTGTAAATATGATATAAAATTTCCATCTAAGTTTATAGGCCGACTTTCATTGATTCAATAATGAACCATAGCTTTTCTTTTAGAGTAACTGGTTGTCCAAACTTATGTTTTCCAATAAAGAAGCTTACCCTGCAGGAAAAGTACCAATAAAGATTGAAAAAATGGCAGACATAAAAAAACTACAATTATTTATTCCAGTGGAGCTTAAGACTTTTGTGCTGAAATTTATTCAACAACAGAATTTGTTGAAGTTGAAAATGATGACTAAGTTTTCATTGCTTCTATTGCTTATCTCAGACTAAAGAGATTTCTTTGAAGATAGTATATATTTATAAAATTAGCTCTTTACATATAGGAGTTTATATAAATATTGATTTCTTGGTGTTTTTAGTAAATAACATTATTTTTTACAAACATATATCTATATTTTTTTCAAATTATACTAAAAGGGGATAAGTCAAGCAAATTTAATGATTTTTTTTTTCATATGAAAGCGTTGTAAATGTCATTAGTGTGTTTCATGATAACTAGGGTAATAAAGAACTTATATGCAAAATATTTCATCTTTTTGAATAAAAATAAAGATTATGCAAAGTTTTCTCAAAACTATGTGTTTTTGACTACTCCCCTTTTAGCATGAGCCAATTCAGATGTTATATAAGTGAGTCAAAGTGGTTGTATGATAAATCTGTTATGAACATTAATGAGTCCAACTGCAACCAGAAAAACAGAGCGTATGTTAAAAATGGTGGTGGAGATTTATGCAAAATCAAACTTTTTCCCAAATTTATATTAATAAGGTTAGATGCTACTTAGAAATTTATATTAATAAGATTAGATGCCGCATTTAGGGGGGTACAACGGGTACAATGGTACCGGGCAATAAATAGTTTTGAAGAGCGGTAGTAAAGAGGTACAAAATGTAGAATAAATTCTGATAACCATGATGAAAAAAACAACAAATAATTTAATCACTTAAAACCATTTTAAATCGTACTAAGAATTTTATTATGCTAATTATTCTACAGAACGTTCGTTTTCAACATTTAAAAAAATTAAATAGATATTGTTCAGGAAAAAAAAAAGACTTAATAGCTTATCAACCATGAGTATAGAAGTAGATATAGCATCCAAAATAGATTGAAGAACTTTCAAGAGCCAGTCTTTAAAAAGTAATTATTTTTGCGTATTCTTTCCACTTTTCTTTTGACTAACAACATTGTTCTCATTATCAACAACAACGAAAATTCAAAAAATCTTTTAAAAGTTATGAGATTTAACGTAATCAAAATTTAATCTTTTGATTACGTAAAATCCTATATCTGTTGACTCAATTTTACAGTATGATAATTGACTACCATCCCAGAGGGCACCGGACCTAAAAAAGACGTCTTTTGAACGTTCAAAAGACGTCTAAAACGTTCAAAAGACGCCTAAAACGTGTATAAGACGTTTAAAAGACGTCTTTTTTACGTCCGTGCCCACTAGGATCTCAAAGCTTTTTAGGAAGAAAGAAAATTACCACTACATTGCACAATGATCAAAAAAAATTAAAGATACCAATGCATTACGTTTTAAAGCACAGTAAATATATTTAAGCATGTCAACGATCAGTTTGACTATAATTAAAACACGTTAGATACATACCTACTTAGCATCTTATATATTATTGCTTAACTTAATAGTTCTGTTTGTAGTGCATACTAACATTAAAAGTAGTAGCATATTCTTGCGTATTTGACGATGCATCTTGAATGAAATGAAAATGATGAATAACATCTTGCAGTCAACCATTTAATAATAAATTCAATCAACACAATCAAGCAACACTAAAAATACACTTTCGAAACTTTCATTTGCAACATTTTTTTACATGGTAGCTTATACATACAATCTTTTTGTAGATGAACAATAAAAATAGTTAAAACAGGCACCATGTTTTATACAAAAATAAAGAAATATTCCGAAATATCTATTTGGTCTGTGTTGACGGTACTTTAAAAAAGAATTTTTGTTTAAGTTGTATATTTGTTTATGTTCCATATTTCACAGAATGTTCCATCAAATGTAGTAAAAGTTTTTATTTGTTCGAAGGAAAACACTGCGCATGCTCACGTGATTATTTTTAGAAAAACGGATGAGTGGAAACTTACCTTAACTATGTTTTAACAAGGAAGAGGGGAGAGGGGAGAAGGGAGGGGGGAGTATAAAACGATCAAAAATTGCGTGACATAACTTGTGAACGGCCACTAAACAACAAACCGTAAAGTATTTGATATTAATGCAAATTAACGTGCAAACAAACAACTTGTTATTAACTGCTGCTAACACAAAAAAAATTTTCTTTAAAAAAAAGTCTTTTTTTCACAATAAAAACTGGTTTAAAAAACTGAATGATAGTTAAGGCATTTATGTGATCGAATTTTATGTTGTTGTTAACTTCTGTTTTCTAATTTTTTACTATTGGATACAGTACGATTTTAGCATTCCTGCTTTATATCTTAACATGTCATTCTTTAGATGAAAGCATTTGTTCATTAACATAACAACATTTTGATCACCCAATACTTTTATAATCTATCTAGTCCAATCAGAAAGATTCACTTTAAAACACTTAAAATCACAGCGTACAAAACCATTTTTGCATTTTTTTTTAAAAAAGCAAAAAACTCTACTTGAAAGGATACCATAATTCTTAAAATTAAGAAGATAAAAGACGATGATACTCTGATATCAAATTGGATTTTTTAACTGCTTCCCAAGTTCTTGCTGCGTAGTGAAACCTGAATATATTCATAAAAATTATTTAAAAAATAAATCTTCGTAGTAACACAAAAATAATTTTTTTTTATCACAAAAAACAACAGAGCAGAATTACTCACCAGTTTCTTTCGGAAAGTAAGTGATGAGTAAACATTTCTCGTGGAATGGACAACAATTGCTGACGAAATACTTTGATGAGTGTATTTATGTTGGGATGACCACGATACTTTGACAAAGGAATGACATCGGTTTCTGCAAATATATATACATACATATATATATATATATATATATATATATATATATATATAAACTACTTTAAAACGTTCTTTCAATACTAAATAATTTATTTAAAATTTTCGCCGGATTATAGGCACCGGCATCATCAGCATATAATATAATATAATTACAAAAATTGTGACCGTTAAATAACAACAACAAAAAATAATTTTAATCTAATAAGATTTAAAAAAAATAATATTCTCAAGGTTTTTAGGTCGTCAAACTTATTAAATATTATTCAATAAAGCTGATTAAAGAACTGTTTTTAAATCAAATGCTAACCTAAAAACGCTATTAACGTCTAAAAATAAATCAAAATTACCACGCAACAGCCAACCAGGAACCTATTTAATCAAGTGCAAATGCTCTAAAGTGTATGTCGATGAATAAAAACTTCAAATGCGAACAAGGGTTCAACAACACCAAAAATTTTTGAGTGAAGGCAAGTTAAACCAGTCTGCATTAGCTTTGCATAAAGTAAATTGCAATGAGGATATTGAATTGGATAAAGCAGAAACACTTAAAGTTGAGGCTAACAAATTGAAAGAAAAGTCCGTGAAGCCTTGAAGATACAAAAACATCAATGTTCTCCTATGTACGGTGGTATGAATTTGGACAATGGACAATAAATGAAAACAAACTTTTGGATTTCATTTTTTTTCATATTTAAGTAAAAGAAACCATTACGAAGGTCACGTCAAAATTTAAAAATTTGTTGTTGTTATTTAACGGTCACAATTTTTGTAATTATATTACATTATATGTAATTATATTATAAAATATTTTCAGATCTTTAAATGGTTAGGTGTAGAAAAAAAAACAGACAGTTGCTATACCATGTGATACAATGAAAGCAGCTGTTAATGAAGTTTTAAAACACAGACCAGTGAATGTTGTCGCACGCAAGTTTAGCATAAATCAAATGACTTTAAAAAAGATATTGTCATGAAAAGAAGCTCAATCCAAATGAATCTTTTAAGCCTAATTACAACAATAAACAAGTTTTTACTGCAGAAGATGAAAAAAGTTTATCAAGCTATTTGCTACTTGCATCAAAAATGAACTATTGACTTTCAACTAAGTCAACACAATTATTGGCATATGAGTTTGCTGTAAAAAATAATAAGATCTGCCCATCATCATATATCAAAACTAAAATTGCAGGGATTAATTGGTTGCAAGGTTTTATGAAAAGAAAACCAGAGTTGTCTTTACGAACACCTGAAGCAACTAGCTTTGCTTGATCAACTGCCTTTAACTGACACACTGAGAAGACTTTTTTCAAAATCTAGAAACAGTAAGAAATCGATATAAATTTTATCCTTATTTCATATATTTAATTGATGAAACTATATATATATATATATATATATATATATATATATATATATATATATATATATATATATATATATATATATATATATATATATATATATATATATATATATATATATATATATATATATCTTATTTGAAACAAGTTTTTGCCAATCTTTAGCCTACTGTAGATTGAAAATGAGGTTTATTCTAAATAGGTCAAACTTTCTTGAAAAAATAAAAGAATAATATTCAAATAACTAGAAGATTACTTTAATAACTCAAAGATTTACACACAACCGATGATTTACAAAAATTGTTTTTTTTTTACTGTTTATTGCATATTTTCAAAATAATAAAATAAAAACATAAAAAAACAAAAGCAAAATAAAAATTACCTTCTTGTGATAATGCAAATTCAGGCAAAAGAAACAAATTGAAGTCTTGGTAAGGAAAGAGTTGTTTTGAATGCATGTAAGACATTAAAGGTGATCTTATAATAGATGCACACCCTAGGTATATGATTATATATATATATATATATATATATATATATATATATATATATATATATATATATATATATATATATATATATATATATATATATATATATATATATATATATACATATATATACATACATATATATATATATATATATATATATATATATATATACATATATATATATATGTATATATATATACATATATATATATATATATATACATTTATATATATATATATATATATATATATATATATATATATATATATATATATATATATATATATATATATATATATATATATATATATATATATATATTATATATATACAGAGATGGACACTAGGGTTATGACTTTTTGACTTTTTTTCCAAAAATTAAATTCCTGTGTCATAAATTGATAAAGTTTTATTAGAAAACATTGAAAACATGTTTAATTCCTCTTGGTTGTAAAAAAAGGTCACCCCGCAATTCAAACTACATTTATTTAATCTTGTTACTGCTACTACTAATATGTGTGGCTTTCCTGCAAATCATTTAAAACTTGTATAGATTAGAAGTATTAAGAACTTTAGAACATTTTGGAAAATAACAGAATATTTTAGAAGACTTTAGAACATTCTAGAACAACTTAAAACATTCTGGAACAAATTAGAACATTCAAAAAAATATTTTAAAATATTTTGGAACATTCTAGAACAATTTAGAACATTCTGGAATATTCTAGAACATTTTAGACTATATATAGCTACTCACCTAATTTTATAGTTATTACAGAAGCAACACATGGCGTCGTACAAGCCTAGCAATAGTAGCATTCAGAAGATCAAGGATGTCAGGACCAAGAATCTGGTAAAATTTGAAAACTCTCATTAAAGAAGCAAAATGGTCCCTTAAGAAAAATTTTCACTGAAAGAAAAGTGCAGAATGCCTCTTCAAAAGCAAATTATCGGACTCTACCATTTCCTTGGACCAAAAATCAAAGGAAGAAAGGAGCGAATAGCGGAAATTTTAAAAGAAGCCACCAAATTGTGGAAGAATAAACTGATTTTTTCTCATGTAGCTGATCAAGTTATACAAGCAAAGCTTATTAAATACTGAAATGTTATGATGAATGTGAGGACAAGAGATTATACTATCTCCAAGTGGAAAGTAAAGTAACAGTGGGATACTCTACAGGCCAAGCGGCCAGTAAAGAAACAATGTATCCCCCTAAAAGACAAAAACTTTTGAATGAGTCATCCAACTCATCATCTTACTATCCTGGTTTTAGTGATTCTGACTGAGACTGATGACAGTGAATATAAAAATGATGAAAAAGATGAGACAACTCCTACATCAAGCAGAAAACATCATAAAAGCAAAACTGCAGTCAACTTGGTGACCTCCACAAGAGTATCAACAAAACAAAGCTGCTAACATATGCAAGCAATTGGCTCGTGAAGACATTGACATCTCAACTCCATGTTAATCAGCTATTAAAGTCAACAATCAAAGAGGCAATCAAGCTGAAGGAAGAATTGATTGAAAAGTTCCCTATGGAAAATTGGTCTTTACACTTTGATGGCAAGCACATCGATAGGATAGATTATCAAGTGGTCGTCCTTAAAAATGAAAGAAGAGAAATCAAATTGGATGTCCTTGGCTTGGTAGATGACAGGGCTTTAACTATTTCTCAAGGAATTTTTAAAGTATTCGATGAATTTCACCTATGGAATTCAATACAGATGTTTGTTGCAGATATCACCAGCGTTAACTGGTGAAAATGTTGGACATTTTCTGAAATCTGATCAATGGAAAATGTCCCTTTTCCTCAAAAAATCGGAACACTCGAGTGAGATGAAACAAAAATTTCATATCATCTCTCTAGCCTAAAACACTGCAAAAAAAAAGAATGGTGTTGTTGTAATATTGCAACGAATGTTCACAGAGAAACGCATCAACAAACCTCAGTTTATCAGTTGTCAACATGTATTAGATAGAATCCTCTGTTTAATGATGGATGAAGAACTTGGAAATAAAACACAATTGCCAAACATCGAATATCCATTTGTATCACTGTGTATTTATTTGTATACTGATACTGTTAAAGGAGTACGAACAACTGAAAACACAGTTTGATAACGGAACAAAAGTAATGCTTGAAACATCAGGCTAGAGAGATGATATGAAATTTTTGTTTCATCTCACTCGAGTGTTCCGATTTTTTGAGGAAAAGAGACATTTTCCATTGATCAGATTTCAGAAAATGTCCAACATCAGCAATGCAGGGTGGAACTCCAGAGCTATACTAGCGATCCTGGCCTTTATTTTAATTCCTTCAACAAGGACAGTTCTGCAAAATGTCGATTTATATTGTATGGCTGGGCAGACCATTGGTTTACAGACCATCTGTATAACAAAAACAACTTTAATAACTTGGCTGAAATACTGAATCCATACAAAAAGGCTTTAAACTCTTTAAAAAATACGCAATCAAAGTAATGGAGGAATTTATTTATCATGCAAAAATAAACACTAATTGTACCTTTGATTCCTTCTGTGCAACAAGCAAGAGCTTCACCAAGAAGAGCTTCAAGAGGTCAACAGTCTGAGTAATTGTTGGATTGAAAATTTATTGTATTACATTACTATGACATTCTAAATACATTTGAATACATAGTAATACTTATGTCAAAATCGATTTTTCAATGGTGGGTAAACTTTTTTAAAAAGATATGCAAATAATAGTTCATTTCGTGCTTTTTAGGTAAAAGTTCATCAAACTACAGTACAGGAGAATGGGGTTGATAAAAAGTCATAACCCTAACATTTTTTGTATTTTTTATGATATTATATATATATATATATATATATATATATATATATATATATATATATATATATATATATATATATATATATATATGTATATATGTATATATATATATATATATAATATATATATATATATTTATACATATATATATATATATATATATATATATATATATATATATATATATATATATATATATATATATATATATATATATATATATATATATATATATATATTTCAGTGAAGAACCCAGAGTTTATTTGGGGATACCGTTTTTTTTCCAGCAACGTTGAGGTGGGTGGGTGGGGAATTATGTTTTGATTTTTCCCTCCTCCTCATTCTCCTCTAGTTATAATTTTTAATCATCATTTTTTTTCAACAATAATTTTTAATCATCATTTTCTTAATAATCATTTATGTTTTAACTATTTTTAAAACTATTTTACTTAAAATTTTAATTAACGCTTTTGTTGCATATACCACGCTATCAGTAAATAATTATTGAATTGTTTAAAGTAATTTAAACAGTTATTAACTATATTTTAGTAAATTTAATTTAAAATAATAATTAAAAATATTTTAAACAATTTTTAATCAATATTTATATTACATAATATATTTACGTATATTATATCGCGTAATATTTGTAAAATTAACAAAATAGTTTTACCTCTTGTATTTGAATTAAAAACATAAGCATTTAATAAACAAATTCGATAAGCATTTAATAAACGTATTTAATAAACTATTCGAATAAAAGCATAAGCATTTAATAAACTTATTTTCTATTATTTGCGTTATTATTAATGCAGTAGTTTTGGTATTTATTAATACGGTAGTGGTGTAGTGGTAGAGCGCTCGCTTCATAAGTGAGAGGTTCCAAGTTCAATCCCCGCCACGCCCCTGGTAGTACTGCGCTCAACTCGTTTCTCCACGCAGCGGCGTTCGTCAAGATTCGTCAAGATTCGTGTTTCGGAGTTATAGAGTTGAGAGAGGGTTATATAACCATAAATAAGTAGCCTCCTCATCTGTAGTGGCCTTCTGGGCCTTGAGGAGGTGAATTAACAAAAAAAAAAAAAAAAAAAAAAAAATTTTAATTTAAAATTTTGATTTAAATATTAGTAAATCTGTTCATTTAACTTTTAATAAAGGTTATAATTTTTAAAGTGATTTTAAGATAAAAAGCTTTTTTCATAAAAATATTCTTAAAAAATATAATTTTTTAAAAACAACTTTAATTTTAATATTTATTTTATTTCAATGTATTTGAATAAAAATTTAACATTTTTTTACAAGCTGGAATAAAAATTATTCTTGCGTTGATCAAGTACATATTAAGTGTACTTGTGTGAAAGAGAAAAAAATTCCCAAGGTTGAACTTCCATGGCTTAATGCCCAAAGGAAAAAAAAGGATCTATTTCAAAATACCAGATGGGTTTCAATGACATTAAAGAGACTGCCAAATAGATTTCGCAAGAGGAGAAAAAAATGAAGAGGAAGTCTGCAGTAGAGAAAAAATTAGAAATGGAAAAAAAAAAAAAAGATAGAAAATGATGACTTTGTTGAATGTTTAATTGAGGATAATTCAGATTTAAAAAAAGAAAAGATTTCAGAAGATCCGCTTCAAAACAAGATTTGGAAAAAAAACTATATGTCAATTAGTCATACTGCAGATGTTTCAATAAGATTATGAAGAAGATTATGTTATGATATTTAACCAGTAGCAACATCAGCTATTGTTACATCCTTTCTTCTAGACCTTATTGAAGCGAAGCATTTGATGCCTGATATGTCTTATTTAGCTGTTGATCCTATCAAAGTAAGAAGAGCAAGGGAAGCAATAATGGAGAGAGTAACAAAAGTTAACTGACGTTGTCTGAACAAAAGTTAACTGACGAAGAACCTGTTAGAGGTTTGCTTATTGATGGAAGGAAGGACTTAACTTTAGTTTTGGAACAGAATTCTCTAACAAATAAATTTCACATGAGGACTATAAAAGAAGAACACATAAGTGTGACCTGTGAGCCTGATGGAAGATACCTTACTCATTACACACCACCTAAAGCTATACCACCAACCAAACCAGCCAAAGAAGCCGCATTTGCTCTTTACAATTGGATGGTTCCAAGGGCAATCCATGAGATTCTACAAACTTTATGACAGGTTCAGGAAAAGATGGAGGTTTGCTGTCAAATCTGGAACAACTAGTGGGGAAAAAATTATTCTGGTCTATTTGTATGCTCCATTGTAATGAATTACCATTGAGGCACATAATTGTTGAACTGGATGGCCCAACTAATTCAAAGAATGGTTTTACTGGCCCTATTGGAAAAGCTTTATCTAAAGTCAATAGCATAAAAAGAAACGCTTGAAACTATAGAACAGCTGGAACCATTAATTGAAATTCCTGAAAAAGTTCTCAAAACAATGTCAACAGATGCAGCTCTCTGTTATAAGTTGGTACAATGTTTGTCCACTGGCAAGGTGGACATAAATCTTTTCTAAAGCAAAGTGCGGAAATATTTGCCACAGCAGATGGCTTACCACAGCAGAAGCTTTTATTTTCCTCTAAATGAGTGATCACACTTTTACTTGTGACGTTCTTCAAAAGTTTCATTTAATCGTTAAATGGGTAGCTCAAGTATATTTCCACATGTGGTATGAAATCAAAGTAAAACACAGTATTGTAGATGGCCCAGGTCACTTAGTAACACTGTTGCAACTGCTGAAAAAACAAGATAATGAAGTTCAAAATATTGCCACACAATACATTCAAAATGGAGCCTATTTTGCCCACTCAGAATCGAGGAAGTTTGCCATTAAAACAATTAAAGATATAAGGAAAACCTCGCAGTTTGGAGACACAGGAAAAAATATCAGAACCAGTGTTTACATGCCAAATTTCTACATACATTCTTGAGAAATATCTGGTCACTCGTTTTGAAGCTCCGTACTTTCCTCTTCACACATAATCTTATAAAAGGGCAGTAAAAGAAGTTACAGAAGCAGCACTTTCCGTTTGTAGTTTTGAAAAAAGAGACGGGTTTGCAAGAGCACGAATGAATAACAGAAAAACTTTGCCCAAGCTAAAATCAAAAAAAAATTTTAGTAACCTTTTTTTAACAAAATTATAAACAAAAACATTTTTATGACTATATTATAACTTAGCATTGTTTTGTTTTTAATGTTGTTAAGCTAAACGATGTTGTTAAGCTGAACTATAAAGATGTCATTCAAACAAATAAAGTCTAAAAACTTCTAATGAAAAAATTCCAATGAAAGTCCTAACTTATTTTTTTTAATCTTATGGCCCTTTTCCTCAGGAAAATTTATTTTTTTTAGAAAAAAAAATTATTCAGGTTTCACAGCATATGGTAATATATATGAAAAGTCTAAATAGTTTCATATATCAATAATTTAAAAATTTCGACCCTCCTTGTATTTATGCATAAATGAACAATTTTACCTTTTCGAAAACTGCAATCCCGCATAGGAAAATATAATTTTTTTTCAATTTTTTTTTTCGAAGTTAATATTTACATATGGTGGCACCATAAAAATTATCAGCTGAATTGAAAATCAAAAACTTTAAAAGTATGATGTACCCTATTATACATTCTATTGTTTTTTGCAGCGTGGTTTTAAAATTAAGTTTCTTAACGACTTTCATCTTTTTAAAAGTTATGTCCAGTTAATAACTGAAGGCAAATTATGTCACATAGTTATGTAAAAAAAAATGAGGTAACTAAATTAAACTGAGAATTATTTTTATACTACTGCATTTAAAACTAAATTTTTTTTTCTATTTTTTATAAACAATCAAAAGAAAAATTATAAATAAAAATAATTTTTGGGTGCCCATAATGGTAAAACGGTTTTAAAACACGTCTAGGTTCTTCACTGTATATATATATATACATATATATATATATATATATATATATATATATATATATATATATATATATATATATATATATATATATATATATATATATATATATATATATATATATATTAGGGTGGTCCATAAAACAACTTTTTTGAGAAAAACCTGCTGACACCCCCTAAATGTGTTTTATCTAATGCAAAAACACTAGGTTTAAAATTTTTTTGAACAAAAATTATTTTTAGGGGTAGCTCAAGGCCCTCAAAAATTTGACGGGTCCCTAATATTTTGAAAAAAAAACTTTTTCTAAAGTATGTCAACCTGGTACTCAAAAGAAGCGATATTGTATAAAAACTTCAAAAATAATAATCATTTTACATAAAAAACATGCCTAAAAAAAATTATTCTCAAAAAACCTGAAAATATTGACTTTTTTTATTTTCAGCTTAAAAACAATAGTTTTTATGCATTTATACCTAAAAAAATTATTTTTATAAAAAATTATTATCATTTTTAAATTTTTTATATAATTTTGCTTATTTTGAGTACCAGGTTGACATACTTTAGAAAAAGTTTTTTTTTCAAAATATTAGGGACCCGTCAAATTTTTGAGGGCCTTGAGCTACCCCTAAAAATAATTTTTGTTCAAAAAAATTTTAAACCTAGTGTTTTTGCATTAGATAAAACACATTTAGGGGGTGTCAGCAGGTTTTTCTCAAAAAAGTTGTTTTATGGACCACCCTAATATATATATATATATATATATATATATATATATATATATATATATATATATATATATATATATATATATATATATATATATATTTATATATATAAATATAATATATATGAAATAAACAAACATGACAAAAAATAAATGTTATTAATAAGCTAGAATAATAATGTTCAAATGACTATTAATTATGTGTCAAAAATTAAAACATTTATTAAGTGCCGGCCTTCAGTGGTTAAAGTACCATCTTCAGAATAAATCTTTTCAAAAAAATCTTAGACGGTGATTTTTCAAAACTGTGGAAAATCGAAACAAACATGTTTATTATTTTGTAAGATTTAGTATTTTCTTCATTTACTTTATAAAATTTCACATTTAATTGGTATGTTATTTTTATAAATAGTAATACACATATATTCAATAAAATATAGAGTTTTTCTCATTCAAAAAGCCAACAAACATTTTGACATATTTAGGTAGATTTAATATCTCAATATGCCTATATGTTGCATTTTTATTACTACCTTTTTATTAGAAACTTCAAAAAATAATTAAAAATAATTTCAAGTCAGAATATAAAAAGAGATATTGAAGATATAAATTTTTGTAAGTGACATCATCTTTAAAAGTCCAAACTACATAACTATATTATCATTTATTTTAGTATTATTAATATTATTATTAATATCAATCACCTTACCCTGATGTTTAAAAAATTTATCTAATGATCCAGCAAGGCTAATTCTGCTACTTTTTAGATCTGTTTTGCACTTTTTTGTGTGCCGCTTTCATAACATCTTTTTGACATTTGAGGTAATTAAATATTGTACACAAATGTAAATTAGACAACAATTAAGTTGTTACCAAAACAGTTACCAAAAATGTTACCAAAACAGTTTAAAAAATAAATAAAAACTAACAATTTAAAGCAACAAAACAACAAAATTATTGGGGACATATTTTTCAAATTAAGCTGTTACTAAATTAATTGTATTTTTATTGTTTCCATTTGATTGATTTTTATTAAAAACGTTTTCCTCAGGGACATTTTAAGTCAAATTTTATTTGCATTCAACTGCGCATGCAAATTAAATACTTATAAAAACTGTTAATCTTTTTTGTAGTTAATGCTTTTTTAAGTTTTGTGTTTTGTTTATGTTATGTTGATGAAAAATTAGAAAATATTCCTTGAACTTTTACTAAAATAGTTTTTAATGCAAAATATAACTTACGACTAAAATTTGTTAAAATTTGTTTGGCTTCTAGTGTAAATTTCTTATAAACAAGTTTCTTTTAAGTAAAAAGTGTTTTAAATATTTGGGGCCCTATTAATATAGGAGGCCCAGTACAATTGTACATGTTGCGCTTGCGATAGTATGGCTCTGGTTGTTGTTGTTTTTTTTTGTTTTTGTTTTGTTTTTTCTTTTTTCAGGTGAAAAAACTGATATTTGTTGAAACTGTAAGTCCCTCTACATAATCAAGGCTATATGAAAAAGATTAATGAGTAACACATTCCATCCCCGGTGATATTATTATCAGATACTTTTCTTTTTTTCAGTTACTAGTTTAAATATCTTATGTTAATATTGATTAATATTGTTAATATTTATTGTATATTGATTAATATTGTTAATATCTATGTTAATATTGATAATAATTTTTTACTAAACTGAATTGATATTATTTGTACTTTTATCATTTCTATCATTAATGTTGTTATTCTTAAAACTATTTTATTGTGGTTTTTCTTATTAGTATAAATGAAAAATAAAATCTGTTTGTTGTTGTTATTTTTGAATTAATTAACACCATTTTTAAAAAACAGTTTTGTTTTTATTTTATCAAGCACAACTTTGTTTCAAGTAGAGTTTAAAAAAAGACTTTATCAAAAGGATAGAAGTTCAATGACAACAAGTGGTCAGATCATTTTTTTAAAGAGCCATTTTTTAATCATAAACAGTAAACTTAGATGTTTAACTATAGGAATATATATACACATCTATACATATGTAAAAATATATGTATAGATGCAACCCTTGGAATTAAGGTTGGCATTCGGTAACGCCAACCTAACTGTCGATCTTAAAGTGTTTGTAAATAGCAAAAAATTGCAAACCTCAAACAGGTTGTAGATGTTTGAGGTCAGCAGTCCGAGGGTTGTAGATGTGTATATATATTTATAAGTACATGCTTTTTTAATAATAATAAAAAAAAACTCTATCCTACACATCTACTCAGTTTAATTAAATATTATAATATATTAGTTGAATTTTATCTCTCAAGTTAACTTTCTTTAGTTATAAAAATTTGTGTTAAATAGTAAAGGTGATGAACTTTTATAAACTTGAAAATATAAATCTGAAAAGTGTAAAATAGAGTAAAAGCTGCATAAAAAAATTTGGAAGTCATAAGTAAAAATTTATAAAAAAATCAAGAGTTACTTGCTTAGCTGGTTTTTATTTGAATACCTCTTGTTCTTAAATTTGAAGTTTGAAAAACAGTGCTTAATATCTCACACAAAGATTTTACAACTTCCACTTCAAATGAGCGTTCATCACAGCAAGTTTGAACAAATACTAAAAAAAAAAAATTAAAATAAATAAACTAAAAATTATACACCTGTGTTTAGATAACTGTAAGTAATTCCTCTCATTGTGCTGCTGCAATTTACAAACGTAACCATTATTTTCATATCTATTAGCAAAACAATTTTTTAGAAAACAGATGCCTGCATGCAACTGCAAGAAATCATTGTAAAAAGATTTTGTCTAACGCTAAAGCCCGCTATTCTCAGGTCACAAATCTTGTATTTCATCTCAAAATTTAGGCTATTGTGACTTCTGGAGAATAATCAACAGCATCTATAACAAGGGCAAATCTGTTATTCCACTTTTCTTGTATGGCTCAGATTTTGTCACCATTTAAAGACAAAACTGAATTGTTTGCTAAGAACTTCTCATCAATTTCATCTCTTGATTTCACTAGTCACATTCTACCTGATATAGCAGACAAACAGGTAATCCATTGCCTGACCTTTGTATCACTTCAGCTATCAATACCTGTTATAGCCTTGCAGAATGTTCTCCGGAGCTGCCATCTATCCTTTCAAAACTATTTACCAAGTTTTTATTAGAGCCTTGTTTTCCAGCCTGCTGGAAAGCGGCATCTGTTATCCCTATTTTCAAAATTTCTGGAGTGCGATCTGATTTAACTACCATCCTATTAGTCTTCTTACAATCATAAGCATCTTTCTGATCATCAATATGGATTTAGATAGATGTGGAGAGGCTATCACTCTTGACACTTCTAAAGCCTTTGATAAAGTTTGGCATGCTGGTCTTCTCCATTTATTCTTGTCTTGATAAAAAAGTAGCACTCTCTGATTGGTGTTTGGGGCATGAAAAGAATCTCACTTCTGCTACAGAATGGGGCTCTTAGTGGCTGGTGAACTTTAACTCAATATTGATAAAACTCAATTTTTGCAGTTAATCACTATTGCAACAACCAAAATCTTCATATATTTATGAATGGTAATGTACTCAATGAGTCATCTACCCTTCGTCCTCTAAGATTAAATTTACTTCCAATATTTCTTGGAATATCAAATCCATTGCAAAATTACCATCTACTAAGGTTGCATCTTTTTATTGTGCTTGCCACTTTTTTACTCTGGACTTTATTTTTTATCACTGTAAATCTCAAATCTGTCCTTGTTTGAAATACTGTTGCCATATCTGGGGTGGATCTTCAAATAATACCCTTTCTCTCCTAGTCAATGTGCAAAAATGCATTGAAAACATAGTTGAATCTGCTCAAAATTACTAAAATGTGACTATGATTGAAGCTTCAATCATTGTCACATTGTAGTAATATTGCTTCCCTCTTTCTTTTCTATAAATACTAAAATGGGCAATGCTTTAAAGGGCTAGAGCCTATTATGATATCTACACTGTGAAAAATATATTCCAGTACAACCGTATGAGAAGATTGAAGCTGGTCATCAAGGTTAAAGCGGATGGTATTCACAAAACATTTATTATAATTTATTTAGTATAAGTTATCTTGCTCTATAAATTTCATCTTTTCTCTTTCAATAACTTTTAACTCTAATAGTGTTTGCTTGCAGCCTTATTGGAAGTGAAGATGTTGAAATATATATACATATATATATATATATATATATATATATATATATATATATATATATATATATATATATATATATATATATATATATATATATATATATATATATATATATATATATATATATATACAGTACTGTGAATATGTTTTAGACCACTTACATTTTCTCAAAAAATCCAAGAGAATTCTTCCTTAATATTTAAGTTTCGAATTCTATATTATAAAATTATTAAAACACATATATTTCACACAAAATATGGAACAATAACAAACTTTTTAATGTCACACTTCATAAAAAAACCCTTAAAATTTACTATGTCCTCCATTTGCCTGAATCACAGCCGATATTTGCCTGAAAATAGATTCATACAAATTTGTTAAAAATCCTGCGGTATGTTGTGCCATTCTCTTTGAAGTACTTGAAAACATTCTTCAGCATTTTGGGGAGCATGTTTGATCTTTTTCCTGTCCAAGTAATCCCAAATATGCTCGATTATATTCAAATATGGACTCTGGGGAGGCCAGGTCATCATTTCCAGTATTCATTCTTCTGCCATTTCATTTAAATACTTTTTTGCCACTCGGGAACAATGTTTTGGGTCATTGTCCTGCTGCAGAATAAAATTATGGCCCATTAGTCTCATTCCGGATGGTATAGCATGCTGTCTTAGAATATCCACATAACGTTCCCCGATGAGTCGTCCCTCTATTTTGATCAGACCACCTACCCCAGATGAAGATAAACAGCCCCAAACTTGTAAAGAGTCTCCTCCGTGTTTAATAGTAGGGTTTAAACACTCGGGCTGATAGGCTTCTCCTATTCTTCTTTGAACATATTGACGTCTTTTTGTTCCAAAAATTTCAAATTTGGACTCATTAGTGTACAGAACCCGATTAAACATTTCCTGGGTCCAATCTTTGTGTTGTTTTGCATATTTAAGTCGTTTTCTCTATTGCCACGCCGTAATAAAGGTTTTCGAATAGCAACGCAGCCTCGTAATCCTGATTTGAGTAGGTGTCGTCGAATACAAGAAGAGCTAACATTTTTCCCAGTTGCTGTATTAATGTCCTTTGCCAATTCGGTGGATGTTTTTTTCCTGTTTCCTAAAGAAAGGATTTTTAAATATTTATCGTCATCTTTTGTTAGCTTAGGAGGTCTGCCATTTTTCTTTCTTTTTCCAAGGGAGCCAGTTTCTCTAAACTTTTTAATGATTTCTCTAATTGCAGTCTTCGAATATCCTGTTTTGAAAGAAATTTGGCGCTGCGAATAACCTTCTTCGTGAAGCACAGTAACTTTCTGTCTCTCTATTAAAGATATTTTACCCATAGCAACACTTAATTAATCTAAAAATGTAAACTAATAACTTTATTTAATTATTTTTAACTATTTGTTTAACTGTATTCATAAAAAATAACAACTTTTTAAAAAATGTACCAAAACCGATTATTATTGTATTAAATTCACTCTATGACTACATTTTATACTGTTAAAAACTTAAATGAACGAATATGAACCTGAACCAGTAAGAAAAAAATCGAAAATATTATTTTTATGTATTATTTAGATAAACGCTTGGTCTGCAGTTATTATGACAATTATCGTTTTAATAAATAAACAAACATATCCCTCATGTTCCTCATAAATTTTTGTTTATTTATTCAAGATAATATATTCTATTAACCTTTCTCAAAGATTACTCAACTTAAGTATGCTTAAAAAAAAAAAATTCACAGGAAAAAAATTGAAAATACAACTAATTATATAAGTGGTCTAAAACATATTCACAGTACTGTATATATATATATATATATATATATATATATATATATATATATATATATATATATATATATATATATATATATATATATATATATATATATATCATATATATATATATATATATATATATATATATATATATATATATATATATATATATATATATATATGTATATATATATACATATATATATACATATATATATATATATATATATATATATATATATATATATATATATATATATATATATATATATATTAATTAATATTGCTTTTCATATTGTATCCCAACCTTGATATTGCCATTGAAAATAAATATTATTTTTTTATGATCAAACCATTCCATGACAGACTTTTTTGTCCTTTTTTCAGATTAACTGAGGAGAATGTTTCTATTATGCAAGTTATTTTATTATAATTTTTATTGTTGTTTGACCAAGTAGAAAAATATATAATTACAATGTTAAGCATAATTTATTTCAATATTTGAGTATTGAAGATAAAAAAATAAAAAATTCAAGCATTTTTGTGTTATATTTTTTATTCTATTTATTGAAATGACTAATAAATGTTAAAACCATGTTTCTGAAAATACTAGTTGTTTTGATTTTTGTTATTTTCTCTTATATTTGTTTGATAAAAAAAAATTACTTTGTCTTTTCTCCTCATTTTGTGATTTATTGATCAAAACTTATTTAGGAATATTTAATATATTTAAATGTAGTAAGTTTTATAGTCCTTTCATAGCAATCATTTACTTCTTCAAGATTATTTACAACCTGTTTAAATTTTAGGTATTAGTAATTTTAGAGGTTCCTAGTCTTCACTAGAATCTTAAATCTGCATTTGCTTAACATTTAGTTCAACATATAAAAAATTAACTCAAAAGTAAAAAATTAAATATTGACTCATGTCAATAAGTGGAGTCAGACTTGGTAGAATATCATTAAATATAAGGAAGTTCAGTGAACTAAACTTGTTTTATTTCAATGCTAAAATTTGTACGCATTAGAGTTTAGTACAGCTTCATTTTTTCAGCTTGTACATTTTTGTCAACCAGAGACATCACTACAATATTTATTTACTACATGCGCCTCTTCACAAATTTAATAACAGGTTTTGTCTGGCCAGGTTTAACTTTCAAATATAACCAAAAAGCCTTGGTATTCTAAAAATTTTTAGACTACGATATAATCTAAAAATATTTCAAACAAAAAGTAATAAAAAGTTAAACTAAAATTTTAAAACTTGTAAAATGTAAAAAAGCCACCAGATATGAAATTATTATAGGAATTCCAGCCCTTATAAACCACTCAGCATAAAAAACAGCTATAAAAAATTCTCATCTCCTATTTCATTTTTCTTATAATCAGTCAGGTTGGAAATGCTGCCTAGAAGAACTTTACTTTCAGAAAATATATATCTTTTGCCATAAATCTAGCATGATGTACAGGCCCAAGCTTTTTTTGTCTGAACTGTTCATCACAAGACAACACCATCGTTGTCATGACACCATTGCTGTCAATTCTGCTAACAATAAGCTGTTTTACAATAAGGCTTTTCTAAACTGTTCCTACAGCCAGCTATAAAAAAAATTTTCAGTTTTAATTTCAACACAATAAAATTTCAATAAACTAGTTCACAACAGAATTTTGATAAATGAGCATATTTTCAGGTTTCTTAAATAATTAATTATTAAGACCATTTACTTTACCGCTCTGATGTTCCAGCAGATATGTGTCAAACCTAACGCATGCACTGTTTTGTAACCACCATTTACAGAAGTTATACTAAAAATGCACTCTTTCAATATATCAGAAATAAAAGATTTATCCATTACAAGAATTAAGAACCTCAAGAAACTCAGTCTGTTCACCAATCCTGATGGAAGCAACAAGTCTGCCAATTTAATAGCTTTTTTTTAATACTTGCTACATATTCATAGTCAGAATTATTTTCACTACTTATAAAAAGGCTATAAAACTAGTTAAGGTTTTAGTTCATTTTTTATGTTTGTAATGTTGTTTTTGCTACAAATCTACAAAAAGTTATTTCATGACCTTACTTACTATATTTAAATATATTGAATATTCTTTAACAAATTTTGATCAATAAATCGCACAAAGGAAAAAATCAAGCAATTATAAGAGCAGAAATCACACTATCCGTCAAGCAATTATAAGAGCAGAAGTTTCAATTAACAAAAAAACTGATTTTGTAAAGGACTCTTTGATTTAAAACAAAAAAATTATCAGAACAACTAGTATTTCCCAAAACTAATAATGTTTTGAGAAAATAATAAGGCTTTTCTAAACTGTTCCTGCAACTAGCTATCAAAAAAAAAACTTTTTTGATTTTCAAAAACCACTTTATTGAAAATCAAAAAAAAAAAATTTTTAACACCCGTATATATATATAAATATATATATATATATATATATATACACACGCATACATACAATCATACATACATACATACATACATACATACATACATACATACATACATACATACATACATACATATACACACAGAGAGTTAGATTTAATTTGTAAACATCAATAAATACTAAATTTTCAGGACTAGTAAAAAGCTTACCTATATTGGGTATAAACTCATTGACTTCTTCTGAGCCAGAACTAAAATAAAGAAATGCAAAATAAAGTTTATAATTATAAAAACAACATCCATAAAATGATTTTAACAATTTAATAAAATAAATTTATAAATAATTAATTTGTTTCTTTGTTTCATTCCAAGTTGTTTCCATAATAAATTTATAAAATAAATTTACTGTGAAAACACCATGGAATATGTAATCCAGTACAAACTGATTATACCGCCCAGTAAAGATCTGATTATTGCATCATAATAAGATCTTATTTAACATATTATATTATTAGGCTTGGACAGGAATGGTATGTGATCGAACACTATTGCTGACAATGCAAATGATTTTTTTTGTTTGCAACTTGACCACAACTGTTTAAATATTTTGATGATTTAAGCATATAATATATGCTGCAAGCATGATATGACTGATATATAACAATCATGACATAAAACAATCATGATCTATAACAAACTTGCTCAAAATTTATTTAAAGTTTTATATTCCTTATAGCAAACAAATAAAAAACTCTTGTTACTTCAAAAATTTCAACTCAGTTATAATTACTAATTTAAATTTTTTTAAGATAGTAGGATTTTATGTTTATATTTATCTATAAAAAGTCTTTTACAATTCTAAAGAAAACTCCCTGTGACTTAACAACTTAATAATTAACTTAAAAATAAAGAGGTTCCGAGTTCGATCACCACCACACCCTTGGTAGTACCACGCTCAACTTGTTTCTCTGCGTAGTAGCCTTGTTTGTTAAGGTTCGTGTTTCAGAGTTATAGAGAAGGTTATAACCACAATTAAGTAGCCTTCTCTTCTGAAGTGGCCTTCTCGGCTTTGGGGAGGTGAATTACCAAAAAAAATTTATAATACAGGGAGAGTAGTGTATTTTGAAGGTATTTCAAAGTCACACTGATTGTGCTACAATTTTGAGTTGAATTTAAACTAAAAGCTGTGAAATAGAACATTTTAAATCCTCAGTGAAAAACTTGAACATTTATTCTATTCATCTAGATTTTAATTAATTTATTTTTAATTAATTTATTTTAAGACATTATCTCAAATAAATGCAGTCTAAATATCCAATAGTCAACAATATACAATATTTCTATCATGCCTTCACCAGTTAAAGTAATAACACCTCCATATACTACCCACCTTTAAGGTACACCATTGGCAATGTACCTTGTAATCAAAAACAAGCTTTTGTTTTAATGTTATAAAAATATCTGGATGTTTAATAAATTACAATAGAGCACCTAAAACCATAAAGTTGAAGAAATAAAAGTTACAGATTTTATCTTAAAAGAATCTCATCTTTTAAGATAAAATCTAAAATTTATCTGACTTCATTTAAAACAATACTGAACGCAACTTAGGGTTAGACACAAAGAGTAAAGGTAACTGATACATTTATTGAAATCTTAAAAAAATCCTATAAACTTGTGATTTCTGTAAGATGTTGTATTGTAAGATTTCTGTAAGATGTTGTATAGATGTCTTAAAGATGTATAAAATAGTATAGTCTTACAGACCTCTTTGCCTGCTTGCCTGCTGGGTATGAACCAAAAGATAATGTTCATCAACTCTGAGATAGGAAATTGCAATGCAATAAGCTATGCAGTTACCTAATTTCTGATAATCAACCAAGGTATTAATAACAGGGGTACTATTTATGTGCAATATGGCATTATTAGTACTATGATATTTTCCAGATGTTGATCAAATCACCCTCTTTGAGATCTCTTAGAGTTTAGAAGCCTTATTAATAACCCAGTGGTAGTTTAGAAACCTTACTACTAACCCAGTGGCAGAGTATATAAATTCTTAATTCAGAATTTATATACTCTTTTGTGGTGCTATGTAAATTGATAACAACTAAAAAGGAGATATAATAGGCTGTTTTACTATGTGAAAATAAATTTTTAATGCAAAATATTTGCAGACTTTGCTTGCTTTTCGATTCTAAGTAATTTTATAGACATATATATAAAATTTCTCAAAGATTAAATTATATTTAAAGGTTGCAGACCCTGATCACGCTTATAAAAAAGTATGGAATTATCAATGTTAACAATATTTATTGGAAAAATAGGTAATCAAAAAAAATAAAATACTAATAACTCTAAATTAACAGACATTAATATTATGTAAAAAAAATAGCATAAAAATCAATTTTATAAGACGCAGTCTTTTCTTTTATTTGATTGGCTTTTCTTCAATGCTTGACTATCCTAAACACAAATTGTTTTTGTTGTTTGTCTCCGATTCCCTAAACTTTTTTATTTTTTATCTTTTTGCACTATTATTGCCCACCTTATAAACAATGCATTTTAGAAAAGTGTTTAGTGTTCTGTCATTTCATGGGTCTAAAATAATTCAAAAAATTTTTGGTAACACATTGGCTGATATCTTTTCCTTCAAAGACTTTTACCTTCTTATTGCTTTAATTTCTTTTCTTTTTTTTTTTTCTTTGCAGGTTTGGTTTCCAATCTTTAACTTTTTAAGTTTGTTTATTCAAAAATAATCTTTCAAGATAAAATCTTTTGTAAAACATGTAAATTAGTCGCGGGATAAAGCATAAGTGGCGATGACATTTGTCTGGTGGGATAAACTAGTTATAAGTGCTGATCCTCATCCAAATGCCAGTAATAATAGACGCGATTCTGAGGAGATGTTTATTACTTAATCACTACACAAATTATGTTTACACATTAGCATTAATGTTTTTTTTCCATTCTGAGGCCTTCCATTGTTGTAAGCATACTTTTTATTTTGTAATCAATTTTTTGTTTTATAAGTTTTTTGTTTTGTTTAATATTTGTTGTATATCTTCGTTCATATTAGTGTTTATAAAACAATTTTTTTTTTTTAATTATTATTGTTAAGTACTGTTATAGGTGCAGTGTCTGTCATATTTATTTTTAAATATTCCTCTATTAACCTTTATTTTGTTTTGACAACTGTCAAAATGTGCTTTGTTCAAAAAATAACTCTCTAATGTACTTCATTTCTTCCCTCAGGCATTCACTACTTGTGTGTGACCATTCGGCGAATTTTATATGCCAAAGTTTTTAAATAATCTTTCAAGATAAAATCTGTAACTTTTGTAAAACATAAATTATTCATGTAAACTAAATGAAAAGTCAGACAAATTTCATTAATGAAATTTTATTCAATGAAATTGAATATATATATATATATATATATATATATATATATACATATATGTATATATATATATTTATATATATATATATATATATATATATATATATATATATATATATATATATATATATATATATATATATATATATATATATATATATATATATATATATATATATATATATATATATATATATATATATATTGATTTAATGATATGAGCTTTACAATTCTTAAGGATGACAGAATAGATTTATAGTACAAGAGGTAAAGTTTGATCTCTTTAACAGAAAAAAAGCCAATTTAAAGTGACTTTGTGTGTGAGAAAAAAATTTGAATCACCCTCTGGATGGTGTAATAGGTTTATAAATTTAAACTTTTTAACACTTCAACAGAGAACAAAAATTGCATAGAAACTTGCCAATGTTTTAGAAGATCAAATGCTATCATCTCATCATTGAAGAATAATGATACAAGCATGATAATTCCATGCTCATGTCATTAATCTGCAGGAAAAAGACGGGTATGATCTTTGCAAATCAGAAATATGGATGAGACCCTAATTACATTTGATTTGCCAGGAAATTAAACTGTGGACCACGATAAAGTTTATTACTAGAAAACAAGAAATAGAGTTAATGAGCATGGAAACAGTTGACAGAAAACATGAAAAGTTGTAGGTTGTATGAGTCAGGAAAACACAAAGATTTAAGTTATAAAAAAGAATAAAAGTTTGTAAGTCATGCAGGGACAGATACAGATGTGACTTGAATGATTGAAAAGTCAAGCAAGAATGTATTTTGGTTAATAGAACTGAATATGATATCTCTTTTGAGCAGCAACCATGATTTTATTTGTAGAATAGAGAAAGAGAATTACAATAATGGGAGAGAGACTTTATAACAATGGAAAAGAGGCTCAAGCTTGGCAGATAAAGTTCCAACTACGTTAACAATGCGTTTTTGGACATAATCTAAAAAAAAAAGCATCATAAAAATAACAAATATGAAAACAGTATTCTATACAGGGACAAATAAGACATTTGTAGAGGTAGATAATGAAATCAGGAGTAAGATAATAGAGAGTACAATAAAGAGAAGAAACCTAAGTAGAGGCTAACTTTGCAATTGATTGTATATATGGCTTCCATGAGAGGTCATTAGTGAACAATAATTTAAAAAAACATAATGAAGAAGATTCAGAGCGATAGCCCTAAAAGAAGAGCGATAACCCTAGCCTTGCCGCCTCCATCTAATGTCTAATAAAATCTATCAGTCACGGCAGTTAGCAAATCAGCCATAGAACGGGAAGATTGAAAATTGTATTGGTTGTTTGACTCAAGATATGATGTTATAAATTTGTTGATCAAAGACTCAATGACCTTGTTAATAACAGATTGAAAACTAATTGGACAATAGTTGAAGGGATCAGAATGATCTCCAGAGTTTATGAAAATTGGAACCACAGATTTCCCAGCTGGCAGGAAAACAAGATTCAGTCAAGTACTTAATTAAATAGTTTAGATTGAATTGGAGAGACTTTGGGAGATGATATTTGTAAGACTATGACAGGGATATTTTCTGGATCACAAGCCCTAGAAGAGTTTTAATGAGATAAGACTTTAGCAACAGAAGCTAGAGTGATTTAAACATATGAAATTATTTAAAAGCGTTTTTTTTTTTGTTCCCAAGTATAATTGGAGGGGTTAGAATGTTCTCCAGAGTTTTTGAAAATTGGAACAACAAATGCCATTTTTCAGTAGGCAGCAAAACAAGACTCAATCAAGCCTTTATTAAATAGTTTAAAGAATTGAAGAGAGTTTTGGAGAACGATTTCGTAAGACTATGACAGAAATGTTGTCTGGACCACAAGCCTTAGAAGAGTTAAATTGAGATATGACTTTAAGAGTTTAAGAGTTTAATTGAGATATGACAACAGAATCATGAGTAATTTGAATGTCTAACAACTTGTTAAACTGTTTAATTGAAATGGAAGGAAGAGAATGGCCATAAAATTCAAGAGTCGAATTAGAAGAAAAGTTCTTTGAAAATAGTTCTGACTTATCCTTGGGAGAGCTAATGAAATCGGTCCCATGAACTAAAGATCGAATGTTAGAGTTACTTTTATTAATGACACTGTTGAAGATTTTCTAAAACAATCATCAGGAAAAGCATTACATCTAACAGAATACTAGTTGGTTACAGAGCCCACACTGCATTAGAGATGCAAGCAGAACACAAACACATATAAAGTAGCTTATAAGTGAGTGAATACCATGCCAGAGGTTCAGACAAAATACAAACATACATAAAGTAACTTACAAGTAAATGGCCATCACTCTAGAGGTTCAGGCAGAACACAAACATACCATATAGTAACTTGCGTGTTAACCAACACCACTCCAGAGGTTCAGACAGAACACAAACATACATATAGTAACTTACAGGTGAGTAAACACCAAGCCAGAGGTTTAGTCAAAACTTAAACATACAAATAGCAACTTACAACGAATAGTAGCTTAGACATCTCTAACTAAATAAAAGTAACCAAGACACACCTAATATGATTTCAAATATATATATATATATATATATATATATATATATATATATATATATATATATATATATATATATATATATATATATATCTTTATTCATTTTTTTTTTTAGAAAAGAAAAAAACAGAAAAAAAATAGAAAAATTCGAACATAAAGAAAAAGTTTAAACTCAGATTTTTTTTAATGCTCTTAGAAATGGATGCTCTTGGGATTAAATGTTCTTGGAATAAGTATTCTTAGGACAAGATTTAGCTTTTAGGATTAGTTGTTTTTTTAGAATAAATATTCTTAGAAGTTGAATGAATATTATTTTATTTAAACAGTATAGTAAACAGTATAAAATCTGCAGTTTGCAATATTTCTACTTGAATGTTATACAGACATGTTTACAATAGTTGCAATAAATTTCTGCAACTCTAACACTAAAAAGTGATTTTTTTCTCTGCAACACTAACACTAAGACACAATTTTGCCACTACAACAATAACATTAAGAAATGATTTTGTCTCTAAAACACTAACACTAAGACTATATGTTTTTGTCTTTATTGTTCTTTTATCAGTAACTATTTGTCAAATGATAAGACCATTTATAATTGAGCTTTTCATATAAACCAACTTAATTCTCTCATGAATTTATCTCTTACTTTTAATTCTTACCTTGAACCATCTTGATTGGAGTGTGAAACTGTACTTGGCTTTAACATTTCTGCAGTTTTTAATAAACTAAACATAAAAAAAAATTACTACGAATTTTTATTATAATATAATAAAGTAAAATTTTTAAAATTATCTTAATACCATAATTCTATCTACAGTAGTATCATAATTTTATAATTATCATAATAACATAATTATCATAATTGCATAATAATATAATTACCATATAATTTATTACATTAATATAATTATCACATATTATAATATTTTTTTCTAATTCTATTTAAAATAACAGAAGAAAATTATTCATATAAAAAATTCATATAATAAAATTAATAATTTAAAAAATAACCTCATTTTTACCTTCAGCAAATGTCTTTTTTAATAGTTATAATAATGGCAATTATAATAACACAACTGTTTATAATATGATATATACTGCCATAAAGAAAACGCGTATAACATAAAATATGTTAAATACTGTCATAAAAAATGGGAATGACAAAATATGATACATACTGTCATAAAAAATGTATATGAAAAAAAATTTGATATATACTGCCATAAAAAAAAACTGTGTATAACAAAAAATATAACATATACTGCCTATATGCCGGCCCTATAGGTTTATCATTAATGGTAGAAATGGCAGAGAGATTTCTGCAATATTATGAAGAAAAAGCTTTAATACAGGCACAATATCTTACACCACCAATTTGTGTAAAATCATTTAAAAGGTATGTTGACGATATCCATTCCCGTTTTAATAATGAGGCAGAATCAGAACGTTTTCTCGACTTGTTAAATAATTAACACACAAGTATCAAATATACAATTGAAAAAGAAAGTGACTCACACACAATAAATTTTCTAGATCTCTCAATAACAAATAACAAATCCGGAACATATCATTTTTAATATCTATCGCGAGGATGCAATAACAAATGTACAAATAAAGCCGCATTCTTGTCACGATCTTAAAATAATTTATGGGGCATTTAAAGGTTTTATCCAAAGAGCTTTTGCATTATGCAATAAAGAAAATATAAATAATGAATTAAAGTTTCTTACAGAAATGTTTATAGAAAATGGTTATAAAAAAAAAAAATACTTCAGAACATTGTCAAAAAAATAAAAAACAATAAGCAAAATAAAATAATCAACAAATAATCAACAACAACAATAATATTAAAACATCAAAACACTAGAACTTAAATATTTTTCTCTGCCATGGTGTACTGCGTAGGTGTACCAAGGGTACCAAAATTAAGCAATCAATTAAAAAAGATATTTAAAAATGCTGGCTACACTTCACTTTTTAAATCACCAAAAAACCTTCAACAATTATAAACTCAAAAAAAAAAGCCTCGACTTTCCAACATTTCTTATCCAGGAGTCTACAAACTGGAGTGTTCGTGTGGAAAACTCTATGTAGGTGAAACAAAACTGGAAAATGGAAAAATTAGGCTGTAGCGGGGCATTCCAGAAATTGCCATGGTGTCTTTAGCTGAAATAAAAACAACACTGTTAAAGTAGAGGTAGACTATTTTAAGAGAAAAGTGAGAGAGTCTTTAGAAATTTAGTGTCACCAGTGTTCTCCAAATGAAGGTGGTTTGAATGAAGACGACAGTGATTACGTCACATCTTTGTTTTGGAAACCTTACTTTTCTTATTTAAGATGCAAGAACACATTACATTGTTTTAACTTAATTAAATTATATAAAAACTTATCTAAGATGTTAACTTTTAAAAAATAACATATACTGCCATTAAAAAAAAGCACATAACATAATATGATATAGCCTGTCATATAAAAAATGTGTATAATAAAAAATACATCAGTGATTTTTGATTGTACAATAATACATAATAATATCATGAGTTACAATAAACTGAATAATGGTATATGTCAGGGTTTCGTTATATTTGGTATTATATCATGACAATATATGGTGTTTTGTCATTGCTATATATGGTGTTATGACATGTTTTACATGGTATTATGTCATGGTTTTATATGGTATTATGTTATGGTTATATATGGAATTATGTGGTCATATATGTATAATATGTTTTAACTAGTTCATTAAAATGTTATTACAAATCATATTAAATATTTAATACATCATATTTGCTTAAGTTAAATCAAGAAAACATTAGTTAGATAAAAGTTAAAGTTAATATACAGTATTGGCTTTATTTCTTCAATAAATTTTATTATTTTTTATAAATTAGCTCTACTTTGAACTCCAAATTTTAAAGATATTAATATTTTTGGAAAAGTACAAAGACATTAAACTAATTACTTTTCAAAATAACCACAACTTTATTCTCCTCTAAATAACAGTGAAAAAAAACTATTAGAAAATTTTCAAAATAATTTAAAAATATAAAAAGTAATTTAAAAAAATAGTCTAACTTATTAATTTAAAAAAATAGTCTAACTGATTAATTTAAAATAGTTTAACTTATTAATTTAAAAAAAATAGTCTAACTTATTAATTTAAAAAAAATAGTCTAACTTATTAATTAAAAAAAAAAATAGTCTAACTTATTAATTTAAAAAAATAGTCTAACTTATTAATTTAAAAAAAAAGTCTAACTTATTAATTTAAAAAAAAATAGTCTAACTTATTAATTTAAAAAAAATAGTCTAACTTATTAATTTAAAAAAAAATAGTCTAACTTATTAATTTAAAAAAAATAGTCTAAATTATTAATTTAAAAAAAAATAGTCTAACTTATTAATTTAAAAAAAAATAGTCTAACTTATTAATTGGCCATTATTCAAATCTTAATACAAGAAATAAAAAAAATTCATAAAATCAAAAATACAAGAAGTAACAAATTCAGATACAACAGGGAGATTTTTTATTAACGGAGTTAGACATAACAGATTTAAAAAATTGTAAAAATAAAATCAATAAATAAATTCAAAAATATTTTAAATGATAAAATTGAAATTCATGATTGAACAAAGTTAAATATTATAAAACGTTATAATTAACAAAAATATTATAAAAAATTATTACCAATATAAATATAACAATATAAATAATAATAATGTTATAATAACAAATATAAATAACAATAATGTTATAATAACAAACATAAATAATAGTAATGTTATAATAACAAATATAAATAATAAAAAGCTTTTATAAATAAAAATATAAAAAGTCATTAAAAAATAAAAATATTTAAAAAGTTATCATCAATATAAATATAATAAAAAGTTACTATCAATATAAATATAATAAAAGTTTTTATCTATATAAATATTATAAAAAGTTTCTTACACTTGCTTAATTTAAATTTATTTTTTATTTAAAGATGTACATATACATATATATATATATATATATATATATATATATATATATATATATATATATATATATATATATATATATATATATATATATATATATATGTATATGTGTATATATATATATATATATATATATATATATATACATATATATATATATATATATATATATATATATATATGTATGTATGTATGTATGTATGTATATATATATATATATATATATATATATATATATATATATATATATATATACACATATACATATATATATATATATATATATATATATATATATATATATATATATATATATATATATATATATATATATATATATATATATATTAGGGTGGTTTTTTTATAACTTTTTTTTCAAAAAACTAGGCACAACCTCTAAATGTGTGCAAAATAATAAAATAACACTAGGTTTAAAATTTTTTTGAATAAAAATATTTTAAGGGGTCTCCCAAAACCTTGAAATATTTAACGGGTCCCTAATATTTAAAAAAAAAAATTATAATTTTGAAAAAAAAAATTATTTTAGGTTTTATTGCATAAAAAATAACGATTTTTAACAAAAAAATGAAAAAAGTCTATTTTCAAAAGTTTTTCCATGATTATTTTGATAAGCTGAAAAAATTATTTTTGTTCAAAATAATAATTATTTTTGAAATTTTTATATAATTTCGCTTCATTTATCAGGTATCAGGTTGACCTATTTTTTAAAAAATAATAATAATAATAATAATAATAATAATATATATATATATATATATATATATATATATATATATATATATATATATATATATATATATATATATATATATATTTCAGATATATGTTTGCAATTATCTATTAAAACATTTTTTTATATTTAAATATAATATTGGTAATGAGCCCATATAAAATATGGTGAGTAAAATGCAATACTTATCTAGGTTATATAAAAATACAATATTTGTCTAGGTTACTTAGGCAAATATTTATCTAGGTTACACTCAAATAAAAAAAAGATTGGTGGCAACATTAATCATTAACATCATCAAAAATATAAAATTAACAAGATATATAATCCTTGCACCCAAAATATAAAATATAAATTATAAAATTCTCACTTTAACAAATTAAAGTCAATAATATAATCTTGCACAACAAGCACCACATGGCACACAGTAAATAAAAATGTCAGCAATTGCAAAGCCTATAAAAAATGAAAATATGACCTTTTAATATTTAATATATATTTTTAATTAAATTAAAAAATCTATTCAAAATTAAATTGTTAAATATACTGTAAATACAAAAATGAGTTACTATAAATTAATGTAACAAAAACAAATTTTTACCTGTACTTCGAGACATATTTCTGCTGTGGCATATTCTGCAGGTACTTTTCTATCAAAACGTAAATATTGGTCTAGCATTGAGGGACTTAAAAGAGGCTGGAAAAATTAAAACCAATTTACAAATAAATACATAGAATATATAAAAAATATAATATGATAAATAATATAAAAAATATAATATGATATAATATAAATATAAAAGCAATTGTACTTGTGTATCAAGCAAAATAAGTCTTTCTTGTGTAACAAAAATATCAACACCAACAGTTCGATGGATGCATTTCTCCTAAAAAACAAACAAAAAATATTAACACCAATGGTTTCGGGAATACATTTCTCTAACTAAACAATGTTACAGAGTTGTGATTGCACAATCAAGTCTTAGAACTGAATTTTTAAGGTTTTCATAAATTAGAAAAAATAAAACTTAAAAAAAATTTCTTTAAAATATTAGCTCTTGAACTATTTGTATGGCAATTAATCTTGCATGCAGCAGAACATCTCATATGCTGCAGATTATCTTGCATGCTGCAGATAAAAATATTTTGACATTTAATTTAAATTCATAAGTTATACAACCCTCAGAACTAGTGTCGGCTGCCAACATAAAAGTGTTTGACCAACTGCCAACATAAAAGTAATTGAGGTCAGTAAAAAAATGCAGACCTCATTTCTATGTTTAATGGTAAGATCTTTGTACCAAATTTTTTTTTACCAAACTGATGCCAACCTCTAAGAGATTGAGGTCAGCAAATTATTGCCGACCTCATTTTTCCTAACACCGAGGGTTGGTTATATGTTACTTATTTTACAATAGATGAAACAAGAATAAGTTGGTACTAACAAAAATTGTTTCTTATTATCAATTTATTTGTTTGGTAAGTAACTTTTGGAATAAAATTTTTTTGAAATAAAATACAAACCTTAAAAAACTTTGTTATAGTATTTAAGAATTGACTGATATGGTCATATCATATTTGTTTTCTTATGAGGAAAAACACACACACATATATATATATATATATATATATATATATATATATATATATATATATATATATATGTGTTTATATATATATACACACACATATATATATATATATATATATATACATATATATATAAATATATATATATATATATATATACATATATATATATACATATATATATAAATATATATATATATATATATATACATATATATATATACATATATATATATATATATATATATATATATATATATATATATATATATATATATATATATATATATATATATATATATATATATAGCAGAAATGTAGTCAAGACAGTAAAAGCCAAGAAATTTGGTCTCAAGACCAAGACAAAGACTTATGATTTCAAAACCAATACCAAGACATCAAAAAGTCAACCAAGATAAAGACCAAGACTTTGAAAGTTTTCACTAGACCAAAACTTAAAAGACTAAAGTTCTTAAAAGTCAATCATGAAAAAAAGCAATAATTCTCACACATGTATGCATACCATTAGTTCATTTTACCATTTGTACACATTACTCTATTATAAAACATAATAACACATGTATAACATAATTATGTCATCGAATATTGTATAGCACACTGTTGCAGTCTACAAAAGATATCTTTAAAGCAACAGAAAACTAACTTGTTTTGCTAAAAACAAAATGTACCAAAAAAAGTTTAACAAGTGCAATTCCATCACACTTAGAAGCAAAAAATAGCACACATATAGCAGATATGCTAAGCCAGTAGATAAGGCACAAAGTAAGAAACTTTGTGGGGTGTGAGACCCTCATTCAGTGAACTTTTTTGAAAACAGTAAACAAAGTTCATAAATTTCATATTTCAAATTGATTGAGAGTTCAATTTTATAACTTATATCAACTTTATTTATACAGAAATCGCATAGCAAAATAAAGTTACATTTACAAAGTCTCAGTAAAATAACAACAAATGTTGTTTAATTACAAAAGAATTACAAAAAATCGCAAGCGATTGTTTATTTTTTTAAATTTGCTTTGCAATGCTTAAATAATGCTTAAAACCACAGAATAACTGTGAAAACCTTGGTATAAAAATATTTTCAAAAAAAAAAATATTTTAGTTTATCTACTGATAAGAAAACAAAATAAATCCAAATTGTAATCATTTTAAAAAACTCACACTGATTGAAAAAGAAGGAACAACGACAAACCTAATAACAACTGTATCATTACAACTTTAAGACTGTACCTTACATGCAAGATTAATATCATACCAATAATAAAGAAACTATTTTAAAAAGATCCATTATTTGGAGTTTAAAAGGAAAATTAAAAAAAATATGAAATTAAAAATTATGTTTGTAAACAAAAATAAAAAAATTTAAGAGTAAATACCAAGTCTGTTGCTTTTTGAGGGCGAAACACTAGTCTTCTAATAAAAATATTCAAAATATTTTTAATAATTAATAATCATGTGTGTATATAAATATATATATATATATATATATATATATATATATATATATATATATATATATATATATATATATATATATATATATATATATATATATATATTATATATATATATATAGTATATATATATATATATATATATATATATATATATATATATATATATATATATATATATATATATATATATATATATATATATATATATATATATATATATATATTAGGGTGGGTCATAAAATTTTTTTTTAGAGTCGCTAACCTGGCTATGGTCTAGAAAGTTGTTTTTTTATGTACTAATTTAGGAAAGTATTTACTTTTATGGATTGAACAATGTTTTCCACCCGCAACTATAATTACAAAAATTAGCAGACCCTATTATTATTCAAAAAAAAAGTTTTTCAAAATTATGTGATGTAGGTACTCAAATAAAGCAAAATTTTATAAAAATTTTAAAAATAATAATTTTTTTCATATAAAAATTATTATTTTATATTTTATTGCATAATAACTATAGTTTTTTAACTAAAAGTGAAAAAGGTGCATTTTTACATGTTTTTCAATAACAATTTTTTTCGGCAATAAGATTTTTATAAATTATAATTTATAAAAATCTTATTATTATTTTCGAATTTTTTATAAAATTTTGCTTCTTTTGAGTACCAGGTTGACTTACTTTTGAAAAACTTTTTTTCTCCAAAATATTAGGGTACCAATAATTTTCCCAATAAAGTTGCGCCCTTTAAATCTATCACAATCATTCTCATATCTGATAGTATCAATATTAATAACTATTAGCAATGTTTAGAGCCTGTAACAAGAAAAAAAAATTTTATGACCCACCCTAATATATATATATATATATATATATATATATATATATATATATATATATATATATATATATATATATATATATATATATATATATATATATATATGCATATTCAAAGAAAAAAATTAAAGAAAAATTGATTTTTCAAAAATAAAAAAATATTTAAAAAACCTTATTTTTCAATATTCATACATTTATACATTACATTTCATATATATTTTACATTTATTATTATTTACATTTTACATTTATATTTATTTATGCATATTATCTATTTGTATATTTTCATATGTATAAACTTTTACATTTTATCTTAACATTATATACATAACCTGGCTATACATAACACTCAATATAGTTTTACATTTTACTTTATAACCATTACAATTCATATATATGTAAATCACATTACATGTTCATGACATTTTAGTTTAAATTTAAAATCAACATTTTTTAATCGATAAACCATCAAATTAAATCAACTGAGCATTTGAAACAACTTATGAAGAATATTGATTAACGACTACATGCAAGAAGTGCTTTAAATTGTCTTAAATAGTAGAGTATACACACAACTTTTTATTAATTTTATCCAACTTCTTATATGAATCAGTATGCACACAACTTCTTATCCATTCTTTCCATCTTGCTGCATATCATTAATCAATACAACCTATTTTTCTTATAAATGTAACCCAAACGAATGTTCAGATTGCATTTATAAGTACAATTGCAAACTGAACAAATGTTCATAAATTTTGGTAAAATTAAAATTTATAATCTAAAACTGTTCATAAATGTTTGATCATTGAGATTAATAAATTTTCTGTTACATACTGTTAAATTTTCTGTATTTGAAGTATTGTTTTATGACATTTAATAGATATATAATAAAGTAAAGGAAAAACCTATTATAACCTATTATTTTTATAAATTCAAAAAAAATTTTTTTCAAGGTAAAAGTATAATCTAAAGCTATAAAAAGAAAGCTTATTCATTTTATTAAAGACATTTGCCATTTTAAATAAATTTTCAAATGATTAAACAGTTTTTGCATGTTAAAACTATTAAACAGCATAAAACATCGAAGACCATCGTCGAAGACCTCAAGAAAAAATGTTTCTATTTTTTTTTGAGGAATCGCTGAAACAATACTCAATAAAAAAGTTAGGACTTTTATAATAAAGTATTAAAATTTTAACCAAAATTTTAACTAAAGATTTTAATATAATATATTAAAATCTTTTGTTTTGATTATCCTTTGTTTTTCATTAGATATAATTTTCCATTGCCTTCTTTTCTTGTGTAAAGTTTAAACTTTGCCATCAAAGAAGATAAATAAAAACCTTTTTTTAATGGTTTTTAACTTTGCTTATTTTATTTTTCTTATTTTAACTAAATGCCACACTTTTAGTTTAAAAGATCCCTTGTGAAACATCATTGGTGAATGTATTTTAGCCTGAAAATTTTGTTATGAACATTTTTTTAACACACCTTTAATTTAATTATCAATTTAATTATCCTATTACTCTTTCAAACTTTTTGCTAACTTGACTTGGGCTTGACAGCTCAGTCAAGTGAAGTAGGGAAAACACTTGAATACAAATAGTTGAATAAAAAAAAATATATTTAAAAGATTAGGACCCTATATGGACGCTAAAGTAGCAGTAGTGATTGTTGCTGCTGGTCTGCTGCATTTGAAATCTTGCAACAAGTTTCTTAATAATTTGAAAAATTTATAAATAAATTTAAAACCTTACGATTTTTGAACAATTTGCTGGCCTGTTAACATTGATAACAAAGTAGATTTTCCTGATCCTTGCAAGCCAACACAACCAACAACAACAAAGTCATTTTGATCAAGGAGCATCTAATGATAAAAATAAAAAAATGACTCCTCTATAACCCATACTATGCCACACTGCTGTGGTAGCAACTGCTACACTGCTGTTATAGCAACTGCAAAACTGCTGTTGTAGCAACTGCCACACTGCTGTTGTAGCAACTGCCACACTGCTGTTGTAGCAACTGCCACACTGCTGTTGTAGCAACTGCCACACTGCTGTTGTAGCAAAAAAACTATTAGTTTAAAAAAATAATAAAATCAAAATTTAAGTTCAAAATTTCAAAAGTTCAAAAAGTAAATTACTCAGTTTTGCAACATATTTTTTGCAATATTTACAGTTCTGTAAAATATTTACAGTTCTGTAAAATATTTACAGTTCTGTAAAATATTTACAGTTCTGTAAATATGCTTCTTACTTTAGGTTTAATTAAATGAATGTGAATTAAAATTAAATTAAAAGTCTGTGAATTTTCCTAATAAAATTATATAAAACAAATAATATAAATTAGCACAAACCTCAATTGCTCGATCACTCCACTGGAATGAGTTGTCAATTAAATTAACTGACTCAGTTGCATTTATTTCTACAGGTAAGTTTAATGCAGCCAATCCTATTGATATGTTATGGTCAACTTGAGAAATGAAAAACCAATAAATGTTTAGAATTAATTAAAGCATAAACTAAATAATTATATATATATAAAATCTGGTTACACCATATGCAGGAGAAAATGTAAAGAAAATTGAAAATATAATTTAAAATTATGCATAAAATCACCCAAAATAAGTAGACAACATATAACAAAGTTCTTTTATTTATCTCTAGTAATGCTTATGAAATAAATTCAATAATAAACAAATTTCTGCAGTTCATGATTAAAATTTATAATACACTTATAAGTTTGTTCATTTATTAGTTTATTTACTTAAGTTTAATGTAAATGTTTTTGAACTCATTTATATATATATATATATATATATATATATATATATATATATATATATATATATATATATATATATATATATATATATATATATATATATATATATATAAAATATATATATAATATATTATATATTATGTATATATATATATATATATATATATATATATATATATATATATTATATATATATATATATATATATATATATATATATATATATATATATATATATATATATATATATATATATATCAGTGTCCCAAAAAACAACATTTTTGAAAATAATCTGCTCTCACCTCCTAAATGTGTTCTATCTAATGCAAAAACATTAGATTTAAATTTTTTTTGAATAAAAAATATTTTAAGGGGTCCCTCAAGACCCTCAAATATTTAATGGGTCCCTAAAATTTTCCAAAAAAAAGCTTTTCAAAAATATGTTGACCTGGTACTCAAATGAAGCGAAATTATATAAAAATTTTAAAAATAATATTAATTTCGAAACAAAATTGTTATTTTTGGTTTTATTACATAAAAAATTGCGTTTTTTAAGAAAAAATGAAAAAAATGCATTTCTAATGTTTTTTTAAGATAATCTTGATAAATAAGTTAAAAATATTTCGAAATGAATACTATTTTTGAAATATTTATATAATTTCACTTCATTTGAGAATTATAGTTGACATAGGGGGTCTTGAGGGACCCCTTAAAATATTTTTTATTCAAAAAAAATTTAAACCTAGTGTTTTTGTATTAGATAGAATACATTTAGAGGGTGAGAGCAGATTATTTTCAAAAATGTTGTTTTTTTGGACACCCTAATATATATATATATATATATATATATATATATATATATATATATATATATATATATATATATATATATATATATATATATATATATATATATATATATATATAATATATATATATATACATATATATATATATATATATATATATATATATATATAATATATATATATATATATATATATATATATATATATATATATTTATCAATTTTAGAAAATAATAGCTATAGACCCCTTTTCGTTGTTTTGATTTTGCGAAACACGTGCGCATGCGCAAGTCTTTGGCAGTCAAAACAAACAATTTTAGCGTTTTAATTGAATTAAGAAATAGTAAACATTTGGTATTTTTTTATCTTCTATACATCTAAAATATGGAAAGTTGGAAAGAATCAAGTTATTTTGAAACATTAGATAAAACCGAAAAGTTTAAGTATAAAAAAAAGCTTACTTTAAGTGACAGAAGCACGCTACCAGATCCATACACATTGGTGGAAGCCTCTTGGAAAGATGATGTATCACTTTTGCCAGATATTCAGTGGGGAGATATATACACATATCTCATAAATACTCCGAGCCAATACACAAATGAGAAGGCCTATAAGTCTCTTGAAGCATATAATTTTTTTGTTTGTGGGCATGTTCAAGATGTTTATTGTAATATTGTTAAAGAAGATGTTCAGTTTTGTTTTGTAAAATCGAAGGTAGGGAAAATAAATGTTTCAATGAAAACAATATATTTAATTATTCTATTTTTATTGTATATATATATATATATATATATATATATATATATATATATATATATATATATATATATATATATATATATATATATATATATGTATATATATATATATATATATATACTTTCATTGGATGTATATATGTATGTGTTTGTGTAAGAATGTTATTTATGTATCTCCCTCTCTCTCTTTCTATCTATCTCTACATATATATATATATATATATATATATATATATATATATATATATATATATATATATATATATATATATATATATGCATATATATATAATATATAAATATATATATTATATATATGTATATATTATATATATATATATATATATACATTATATATTATATATATATATATAGTATATATATGTATATTATATATATATATAATATATAATATATATATAATATACAATATATATATATATATATATATGTATATATATATAATATATATGTATACATTATATATATATATATATATACATATATATATATATATATATATATATATATATATATATATATATATATATATATATATATATATATATATATATATATATATATATATATATAT